AAAAGTCCATTTGAGAGCCTCAGGATTTCTTGAAAAAACTTGTGTTGCTTCTCTATGGCTCCAAAATCCCAATTTCTGTGTTCTGGTACAAGGCCAAATGTGAATTAAGTAAAAAATAAAATAAAAGATAATAAAGTATCAAGGTGCAATCCTATGCATTGCTGGGGCAATCTGAGAATTGTAGGCCTTTTTCTGGCTAAACATGCATAGGAGAGCGCCCGTAAAGAAGTAATATTACATAGTGCTTTGGTGTGCTCAACAGAGTGCCTTAGCAGTCCCTACAACAGTGCAGATGGGAGGCCGAGAATGTGAGCAAATGATTTGCCTAAGGCCACCCAGTAAGCTTGTGGGATGCCTGAGCACTGAACCAAGCACTTTCCAGTGCACAGTGCGGGGGCATAAGCAAGGCTTTACTTAGGTCCCATCCAGGGCCAGCACTGCAGATAGGTAGGGAGTGGCAGCCCACTCAGACAAGCCATGCTAGCCAGGAGCAGTGCCAGTTCTCTGCTGCCTGAGGCAGAAAACACTCAGGTGCCTCTGCCACACCCACCCAGCCCCACTGCCACCCCGCAGTTCCCCCCCATCTCCCCCCCTCCACTGCACCTCAGCATCATGCACACCTCCGTCTGCTACCTCTCCTCCTACCCCGCAATCGTCACCACTCCTCTTTGGCTGTAAAAAATAGGCGACATCCACAGGCTTCACCTCCCATAATGCCTGGCTGTGGCAATATCCAGAGGCACCACCTCCCATAATGCCTGGCTGCGGCGATATCCAGAGGCACCACCTCCCATAATGCCTGGCTGCGGCGATATCCAGAGGCACCACCTCCCATAATGCCTGGCTGAGGAAAAGGACCCCTCAGAGCCAGACTTTCGGGCCTGGCCAGCTCATTGCAGAGCTGTGCAGGCTGTTCTTTATGGCTGACATGGCCCTTCAGATAGCACACAAGGGTGGCCACCCATCTGCCCCTCAGAGCAAGCTGGAGGGAGGGTGGCAGCTGCCCCAGACAGGGCAGGGCAGGAGGCTGCCTTATACTTACCAGGCCACTGGCCCATCAGGCCCTGTATTGTCAACACTGACTGACAGCAGCTCTCCAGGGATTCAGGCAGGACTTTTCCCAGCCTTACTTAAGAAAACCAGAGCCTGAACCCAGAAACCCCTGCATGCAAAGGAAGGGAGCCCTGGCCCCTTCGTTCGTGAGCCACGCACCCTGTCCTGAGCTCCCCAAGCAAACTTGTGGCCTTCAAGCGCAGTGGAAGATGCTCTCCTGTGGCTAGTCCTGAACTCGGATTCAATGGCAGGTCTGGCCTAGTTCTACACATATCATGATGGAAATGGGTGAGAAAAGCTATCTTGTCCTCTCTCTTGTCTACCTCGGGAAGTAACATGCCTTTGCCCGACCCTGCATGAGATGCTGCTGTACATGCACGGAATTGGGTCCCTGCTTGGACTACAAGATGCTCATTCATGGCCCCTGCACAGGAAGCTTTTCAAAGTGAAGTGCCACTGGGATCCATGGCCAAGACTAGTTGACCACTGCTGAGCAAGGCAGGAATGGAGAATGCCAGATGTCTTCTCTAAGATCAGCTGGCCTTGCAGACAGCCCTGGCTCTCCCTGGCTCACTGTATATGACACAGCAGCAGAAGTCCAGTGACTGGTTTTAAATTATGCAAGGTTTTGCTTCTTCTTTAAAACAAACAAAGAAACAGACTCTGCTGGAGGGGAAGCAAAAGCTGAAGGCACCATTCAAGATTGGGTATGCCATCTGTAGGGTGCTATTTAGATTCCCTGGCGGGGACGGGGAGTTCTGTGCAGGGGATACGGTTAGGGAAAGCATCCAGAGGCTCTCCGTCTGTATCCACTACCAACAATCTTGTCCGAGTGTTCCATAATATTTATCTGAATTATTTTTATCCCACTCCTCCACGAAAATTGCTCCCAGAGTCATATAGAACTAGTAATAAAAGACAGTTCCTGCCCAGTAGCTTAGAATTGGAAAAGATGCAGCACACAAGGAAAACAGAATGGGGATGGAAGAGGGAAAGATGTCTCTCAGCACTGCTGGTAGAACATCCCCACTCTACTCTCTCATCTTTCTCAATGACTTTTGCTGATGAATGGCCACAAACAACCTTTTGCCCTGTATTCATTAGCCTCCTTCCCATTCTTTCATTTTCCGGGCCTTCTCCTTAGCAAAGCTTGGCTATTTGGACTTGACATCATCCCATTCAATCTTCCTTTGCTACTTGAGTGCTCCATAACTCATTTTCATTACTCATCTCTCACTTCTGTTGCCCTGAACCAGCCTTGCCCAATTTGGCAGCTGCAATATGTGGGACTACAATGATCCTGTCAGTCAGGGATGATAGGAGTTGTATATGACACATCTGGCAGCAGCAGGTTCTTAAAGGCTGTCCATCTGCCCATAAGGCTTGCGGGATCTAAATCCACTCTCCAACAGTGGCTAACCAGACGCTCTAGGGAAGTTCAGGGGTAGCCATTCCCTGTCATCGTATATCCCTGGTATCTGACAATCAGTGCTTCATCACTCTGAAAGCAGAGGTGCTATGTTTTAGTCTCTTCAAAGCCTCAAGCAAGCACTCCCTTCATCCAGTATGTATAGCATCTAGTGTACAGGTGGCACTAAAAATTACAACAGTGATCATAAAAAGGGAGTGCTGCAGAGCAATGGCAGCCAACTATTCAGCAAAACCAGATGCATCTCAAGCAGTAAGCCATTGCCTTGTAAATCCAACAGTCTCTTTTTGGAAAGCCAGCCTATATGCTGTTTTTCATAAGAATCACTGTAGGTGGATCCAGTACTTTTTCTCATTAACTACTGTGTGGCAAGATCTTCCCTGATCACCCTCTGTTTTGGATCAACCTTCTAGCTTAAGTAGATCATGACGCACTCTGCAATATTTGTTTTGGTTATTGTACACGAAGAGGGTAAGCAGTTCCTAGGAGTTGTAAGCAACAAACCACACGTCAGACTGTCAAAAGGGGAAACCGGAGTTGGGGTTGGGGGGGGGGGTTAAAGGCAGTTAATGAGCAGAAGGGGTGTGCGTAAAATCCTATTTAGAGTGCCTCTCAGGGGAACAGCTGTCTCCTTGTAAACATTTTACTAGTTGTTCTGATTTCAAGTTTGAATTAAAAAAATACATTTGTTATGGCCAAGTGCAGGGGGGGTTGAGGAGAGAAAAGGTGTCAGTGGGGAAGATCTAAAGCTTTTCCAAATAGGAAGGCAACTTAAAGTTGTATATACTCAGAGTCACCTTAGGAACTGAATTACCTCTCCAGCAATCATGCAAAGAAAGCAAACACGGGGGAAGGTGGGTGTTGCTCCAGAAAGCCTACGTGAAAGTTGCGATGGTGGTGCCAGTGGTTCCTCCCCACTGTTGGTCCCCAGAAACCCCTATTCTAAGGCACATTGTTTCTGAACATGGAGGTTCCATTTAGCTATCATGACTAGGATCTGCTGATAGACCATTTCCTCCCATTAAATTTGCCTAACCCGTCGTGAAAGGTTTTCTAAGCTAGTGCAATCACTACATTTTGTGGCACCAATTCTAATACAGTTCATTTCCCCCCATTTATCTTCAGTGAAGTTCCTCCTGATCCATTTCATGGCTGCCTTTGTGTTCCAGCTTTATGAAAAAGGAAAGACTTTCTTCTCTCATTCATAAATGTGTGTGCCTCTACCATCTTCCCCAAGTCAACTTTTTTCTAAAAACCCACTAATACGTATATGCATAGCTGAGCCTTCCTTGACTTGGTACCCTGTAGGTGCTAGCTTGGAATGATAGGAGTAGGAGTCCAACAAACCTGCAGGCCATAAGCTTGGGGGAAGGCTGTGATAGCCTTTCCTTATCAGGAAGCTATTCAAGCCTCTTGATTATTTTGCTTGCCCCTTTCCGGTGCAACATCTCATTTTTAGAATGAGACGACCACATAGTCCAGGTGACTATCCTCCAACAACAAGTGTGATAAACCGAAGCTGTGCTTCCATCATCACAATCTCTTTCTACCTGAAGCTAATTCTCCTTTCATGAAAGCCTTGCAATGCTATCTCAGAACAGGCACTCAGGTCACTGGATCATTGCAGACTTGAGGACTGCTGGCTGGACACATTAACAGACTTCTCAGGGGGACAACCAGGATCTACCCATTTCCTCCTGGGAGGGAACAGAAAAGTTCTTTCTCTAGTTAAGTCCATCATGAGCCATTCGCACATGCAAGCTATGACTTGATGATAGTCATCAAGTGAGCAGGTGCATGAATGAGCCCTTTGTTTCTTTTGGGTAAGGAGTTTTGGTTCTTCTGTACTTCTATACCCAAATTCAACACATCAGGTCTACATGGCACTATCCTTTGGCTGGGCACACTGCTACTCTGGAGGAAGGCAACTGAGCGATGCCTATGCCATTAAGTCTATGTTGGCTGGCCTATTTTTCTGGTTTTGTTTCATAGAAAAACGGTGCAGGATTTGCTAAACTGAAGGTAACCCAGTGAAAGCAAAAGGGTCTGTTTACTGAAAAACACAAATGTGGGTTAAGTAGCAGGACAGGCCTTGGGGACCATGGCATTTGAGCTAGTATTTTCTAAAAAAGAAACAGTGTTAAGCTTCTGCATAGTGGGCTGCTTATGTTATGCCTTCCTGGCTGAAAATGGGCACGCAAACTCGAATGCACAAAAGGGAAATGGAAATCAGGCCTAACGTACACAGAGGACAAAGGCTTTGCCACAAAGGATCAGTGCAAAAAGCACCCCTTCTTCAGGGTACTCTAAGTTGACCGCTGTGGAGGCAAGGAGTGCAACATTAAATTATACTATAGTTTCTTAATAGTTGTATTCTATTTTATATTTAAACTGTGTGGCATTTTAGTCTTTAAACTGTCGATAATCTGCCCAGAAAAGATGGGTTATTGTGGATTAAAATATAATAACTAAGTATAAATCAAATGTCTACAGATGAACACATAAATGACAAAGAAAGGAAGTGAACAAGGTAATGCCTTTTATTAGACCAAGCTGAACCTGTGTGTGTATGTTGGGAAAATTCAGAGTCCTGCCTTCGAACAGCAACAACAAATTCTATGCAGTTTACACACCCAAGCACACCACCATGTTGTATTAATGGAGGAGGGGTGTCACCCGAAAAGCAGCACCAGAAACCCAGAGCTTTACCCTGTCCAGCAGTTCAGCACTGGCCACGTCATCCCAGCTTTCATATTCAGAGCTCATCATAACAACACTGGGCTTTCCCAGCCCTTCTACATACTTTCTATGCTCCAGTGAATGGCATTCAGATAACCTATTTAGGGCAGGAAGAGAATGGGAGCCTGGGCGATGCACTTCTTCAGACAGAGAGTGCAGTGAGCATTTCCTTCCACAAAAAGAAACAGTATGAATGGAAACTGAAGAGATTGTTCCCAAATGTCTTTGTATGCATACACGTTGTTTCTCAACTAAGTAACTCTGTCACACAAAACAAGTACCCACAACGGCTTTAAAACACCATCATCACTGTGATGGCATTACAAGATGACAACCAGTGCTGGATGCAACAGTTCCGGTCACTCCAGGCTACCTAATTCCTTCAAAGTCCAAACCAGTTAGGGACTCCTCCTTGCTTGGGGTCGTCTTTCTGCCTCTGCATCTCATCTTCCATAAATTTCCTCTGGATGTCTTCTACAGAGCCAGGCACAATGGTTTTTTCTGTTTCTGGAAACAAGTCCGGAAACTGAAAAGTCTGTCCTCCAGCCTAAAGACAGAAAACAAATGTTTAGTCTTATGTTCCAGTAGTAGCTACAACACTCTTTGGACAGCTGTGGGAAGTTTCAGAATGCTTCAGCCAACCTCCCAGAAACTCAGCAGAACTCAGAGAAAGTAAGCTACAGAATGTGTTATGTATTTTTATTCCACCCTTCCTCCAAGGAACTCAGGATTTCTTCCTCACACCATCATGTACTTAAATTGGTTTCTTTTCATTCCGACCTAATAACCTTGCTTATGGAGAATGACTAGCCCAAGGTCACCTAGTGAGCTACCTAGCTAGATTGAAATTTGAACCTGGGACTCTCCAGCCATAGACTGAAACTTTGACCACTGCACCACACTGGCTCTCCCCATGTTTTGTACTCCAGAAAAGGCAGCCAGCTTGCAACACCGGTTCAACAATGACACACCCATCCATTCAGAAAACCATAACTATTGAAAAATGGTGCAAGAATCCCCAAAGTGATCAGGTATACCTCATCAAATCAAGCACCCAGACAATCCATTTTCGCTGTGAAAAAATGTTAAATAAATACATCATAAAACTGCGTATCTCAATTGCAGCAGGTATGGTGTGACTGCACAGTTCCAGGAGGGAGGTGATCTTTGGCAGTCTTGGAATATGAGACAACCCGTGCTTTTCCCCGGCCTATCTTAGAACTGACATTATTCTACCTTTAAGAGGATATTTTAAAATGGGAGGAGCAGCACCACTGAAATGGGCCAATTAAGGCAGGGATGGGCAGAAGGGGTAAATCTCCAAATGTTTTGGAGTTCAGCTCCCAGAAGCCAAGCCAGATCATGATCAATGGTCAGGAATGCTGGGAGTTGTTCAGAATATCTAGAGATCTACTTTCTGAATTAAAATACACATCAGTGATCTCAACTCTGTGCTTGCCACCCCTAAGTCCAGTAACAGGAGAGAGAGAGAGAGAGAGAAGGAGAGAGAGAATATTAAAGCAATATTAAAGCTATTCAGCCTCAATGTCTACTGCACAACTGACTGAATAAAATGATATACTAGGCAAGACTGTATAATGATATGAAATAAGAAGTGATTTATGAAACTCATGTAATTCCTGAAATGCAGCATTAAAATTTACAGCAATCATTCTCCATAATGAAGAGAGTCAATGCCAACATCAAGTATTGCCACAGACTCAACGTCTCCCATTTGGAAAACAATCATCGGCTGACCTTTTAGCTTTTATTTAACAGCAGGAACCTATTATTCAAGGAAGGCATTCTATTCTGTTGACATTATCTCTTTATTTTTCCATATTGTGTTGACAATCTCATTAAAATCAACTCTGTCAGCTTTCCATTTACTTCAAGTAGAGGATTTGGTATAATAAAATGATCAGACAATAACATGGCATAGAAAGATGTGTTATAAAAATAATGACTGGGGCTATTTTGAAACTTATTTTCCAAAATACCTTAACAGTCCTAGCAGCCCACCCCTAAGGCACTTGGAAAGAAATGGTGTATAAACTCAGGACACATGAACATTTTTTCTGACATTCTACAAGAAAAAATTGCTTTTCAAGCTAATCAGGTTTTTGCCAATAAAAGTGGCCCCATGCAATTACTTTGGACTATACTTACAGAGAAGTGCAGTATAGCTTTCCACTTTATGCCCTGATGTTGGAAACAAGTACCTGGCCATTTCTCAGCCTAGTGCCCAGCCTGCTCTTGGTCCCAGTGCATTCCAACAATGTGGCTGCATTCACAAAATACAACAGGCAGACTTGCATAGTTACCACGGTCCACATTTTCTTACTATGATTGACCTGACAGACAATCAAACAATTTCTATGTCAATCTGGTTTCCATTCTCCTTGCTCAGTCCTCCCATGGTTGGGCATGTATCCCATCAACCACTGTGACTGAAATATAATCCCAATGGGCATTGCTCCTTGTCTATGTCACCTGCTTCTTCCTTTCTGCACATAGAGGCTGGATGACTGGAGTGGCTCCTCCACTCCACTTGCTGCTCATTCTAGGGAACTCTATGGTAGCTGCATGCCAGGACACTGGAAACAATAATCCTGGTTTCAAACAACATGACAAGCCATGGAGGTACAGAGAAACCATGCAACAAACTGTTGCTTCTTATTGTGATTTCTAAAGACCAAATGTGATGACGAAATACCCTAACTGGGTTCAGACAGTCCAACAATGGTAAAAGAAACATCATGGTTTGTTGTGTTAGTTCAGTGCTGCCTAAGATTCTATAGAGATGCTGCAGCAAGTTTCCTGCATCAGCTCAGGTTTGCACAGATGATCTCTGTGGTCATTTCCAACACTATTTGATTAAAGGGAACAAAGATTCAATGTCCCATCGTGAACCGTTCCCCATTCTAGCTTTGCCCTTAATTCTAGCCAAAAAAACAGACAACTGTTCTGGACAAATTGCTTGAAAGCATTATTAAAAATAGAATAAGCACACTGAGGGACAAGCCCCACTGGAAAAGAAATCAGCATGCCTTCCACAAAGGAAAGTCTTGTCTCACTAACCTACTTCAGTTCTTTGAGAGTGTCAATAAGCATGTAAACACACACGGTCCAGTAGTCACTGTTTACCTGAACTTGCAAAAGGCTTCTGACAAAGACCTTCATCAAAGGCTCCTGAACAAACTGAGAAGCCATGGAATAAAAGGAGGGGGTTCCTCTTACAGATCTCTAACTGGGTAAAGAAAAGTGGAGAGGGAGAGATTTTTCTCCCTTTCCCATAACACTAGAACCCAAGGTCATCCCATGAAGCTGACTGGTGGGAGGCTTAGGAAAGATAAAAGATGGCACTTCTTCATGCAACATATAGTAAACTGTAGCATTCACTGCCACAGGAAGAGGTGATGGCCACTAAATTGGATGGTTTTAAAAGGGGGCTGGAAAGATTCATGAGGAAGGCAGCTTTCAGTGGCTACTCGCATTGCTGGCCATGTGTTATCTCTTTTAGTAGAAGCAACATACCTGCATACACAAGACGCTGAGGAGCTTGAGGAGGTCTTGTACCCATCCTGCTTGAGGGATCCTGTGAGCAGTTGGTTTGCCACGGTGCGTAAGGAGAGTTGTACTAGATCAGGGTGGTCCAACACGCAGCCCCCAAAGCCTTGTTCTGTGGCCTTCTTGCTGCTTGGAGCCCTGCCATTCCCTCCCCACCCCCAGTCTGGATCCCATCGATGATACGGGCATGACTGCAGAAAGCTCTCTTGAGGCTGCCATCCCATCCTGCTCTCTTCCTAAGGCATGCCTTTGTGCTCATCAGCAGGAGTGGGCAAGGTATGCTGGGGAGAGTTCATTGGCTCAAGTACAAGAGGCTCAGGACACCGATTCTAAGATGGGAGGAGGGGCCAAGAGAGTCACATGAGAGGGTTTCTGAGCAGGAGAAACAGGGAATATAGGATGGGCCACCCCAGAGGAGGGGTAAATGTGCCATTAATTAATTGATGGTTAATTAAATATATTGTGAATACTTTAATTTATGATATGGAAATATAATTCATTGTGTGGCCCTCTGGTTCAATCTTGAAGCCCTCATGCGGCCCTCAAGGGACGAAAAGTTGGACCACCGTGACTAGATGGATCTTTGGTCTGATCCAGTATGGTTTTTCTTATGTCCCAACTACAGGGGATCCGAGAGGGCATTTTTGTCCCCTTGGATTCTCCCCCACCACATCGACTGCACTCAGTGGACTGCAACCTAATCTATGAGCAACTACACAAAAAGCCTATCAAAAAGTGTCCAGAATGTTAAAAGTGGTCAAATTTAGCTCAGTAACAATTCAACACATTGAATGCTCTGGAATTGTTATAGAGCACTATTCACAGCCTGCCATTCAGCAGTGCAATGTAGGCCACATGGACCTGCAGGTCATGCGTTGCCCAGTGCTGGCCTAGAAAGTCCGATCCATACATAACTGACCATCTCCATCTCTGCATGGCATCACCAAGGTCTTCAAAAGTATCCAGGCACTGTCCCTGTAACAATTCAATCAGGAACAACCAAGTAGCTTTTGGTAACTACTCTACCACTTTCCTTTGCTTGAGGTCCACTTAAATCCAGGCCTGGGCATTTTCCAGAAGCAATGCAACATTTTTTGTTTGTTTGTTTTTCAGGCAAAACTGAACTGGCTTTTAATGGCTGAGGTATTTTGGTAGTATGATTTCTCTTCCTGCCCCCCCCCCCCCCCCCCCCAGTTTTAAAATGGTTGTTGTTCACCTTACTTCTGAGGGATCAAGCAAGGCAGAAACCTTTACAAAAAACACTAAAACAACAAAAATAATGCCCATGTACACACCAAGGGCAGCAACTGGAAAGTCATCAAGCAATGTTTGCATGGTTGCCATCTGCCCCTTCTGCTTGCATGTACAATGTCGTCATTGAGTGATGTTGCTACACATACCAGGGCTGGGTTTACTGCCAAGCTGAGAACTGGGAGGCCTTGTCTATGGCAGACACAGCCCTTCTGTCCTCAAAGGGCAAGGATATGGCCTCTAAGGATGAGCCAAGGTGCCCGTCCTTGCACTTTTTCAACATTTGTCACTGCAGCACTGCAGGCTAAAGGCAAATGACTCAGAGCAAATGTTTCCATAAAGTGCGACACATTTTCCCACCCTCTTTTTTGATTGTTTGTTTTCAGAAAGAGGGCAGTGAGGAATGCTCAGACATGACAGTGGAACAGGACAATACCCTTTCAGCCGGCAATGAAAGTGCTCCTTAGCTCCCATTTCAAGGCTGGTCAAAATCAAATACTGAGCAGAAGTCAATCCGTATCTGGAACCTTTTAATAAATAAAAGTCAACGCAGACAAGTTGGCTCTTTCCATCTCTTGTTTTGCCGAGAAATGCTGATCTTGGCTGGCAGCCAGCTAGGGTTTGAAACAGCCAAGACATTACATTGAACTCTCCGAATTGAAAGCCTTATAAATCCTCCACAATACCAGGCAGTAATTTTGTACTGGTCAGGTTCTGGAGTGCTGAAAGCTTTATGAAAAATAGTTGCTGTGCATGTGCAGTAGCTAGTGTACCTTGACCATTCTGAAAATTCAGCTATATCCAGAGGAATACCTGTACAGACAGGGCTAAATACGCATATCTGAAGACCTCGTCCAATGAGTTATCAAAGCATCCTTAATCACAGCAATTCAAATATGAGTATCTGCCATACTGACAATCATTAACAACCATTTGATTGCAAGAGTGGAGGGATCCATGGACAAGATCTTTACTTCCATAATGCCAATGGGCTCTGCTACTGATCTCATTAGGATGTGAACAAATCATTTTGCCTGGGCAAGTTCTGCTTTAACATCCTCTCAGCCACACCTGTCAAGAAAAGGACTGGTGTGTCTTGCACCAGCTGAAGCTTCCACGAAGCCATCAAAGGCAGCCCCGTGTATGGCACTGCACAGTAATCTAGTCTCAGGGTACCATTATTATCACTACTGCATTACATTTATACCCCATATGCCATCTTCTTGCAAGGAAGCAACTTGCAAAGTTCTCATCCTCTCCATTTTATCCTCACAAAAACAACTGTGTGAGAGTCCATGACTGGCCCAACATCACACTGAGTGGTGACAAGACTCTGAATCTCCTGAGTCCCAGCCCAACACTATCACTGGATCTGAATCAGAAAAACTGGGATTAACCTTTCTATTGTGTGAACTTGTGTGACCTTAGCTGTGTGAACTTAAGACAAAGAGCACCTGAGGTTCTGAGGCCACAGAAGCTGTTTTCATATTGATAAATAACCCAGTACTAACTTTTAAAGCATAGAAAGAAAGCAGTAAGTCTGTATCACAACCAAGGTTACAAAATGTTTCTTCCTAGGAGGAGGGGGGAAAGCACATCAAGAACAGACTGAAACTACAGAAGGTGATATTGACCACAAGCACTAATTTGAGGTCATTTGCAAGGAGAGACAAATACCACCTGCACTGGGAGGAGGGGAGAAACAAACCCACATTTGTCCAGTTTTGGTGTGGAAGAGAATGAGCCCTTAATATTTAAGACAACCTGGTCCTTGTGCATATTCTTCAATTCTCTGCTCTCACCCATACAGCTATGGGTTAGCTGATGTCTAACACATCAGCCATTTCATCTTCCAACACTTGAATGCAATGATTAATCTGTGCATATTATATTGCATAAGTTGGCCTGGAAAGCAGAAGCTGATGACTTCCAGAGTAGAGAAACATAACTGCTGTATTTGAGACAAAACAATATTTCTCAGATGCGTAAGAGTGCCAGCTAGCAAAGAAAGCAAAGCAAAGTATGGAAGAATAATACTGCCACCTACTGACCCTTTGCAGAGGCCAACATGAAAACCTAAAGTACGTAGATGGCTTTCTTACAGTATTACCTGGAACCTGGAACAAACAGGGACTTGTTTGAGCCATGGATTTGTTTACACCAATCAAAGGGTCAATCTGAGGTTGAAGCAAGGTAAAAGTAAGGAAAAGACCCTCAGAAGGACCAAGGACTCTTTCCTTGTCTATTTCATTCTGGACTATCTCTCTGTGAAAATGATACCATGGTAGCTGGCAAACTAAGGGAGCTGGCAAACCAAGGAGTTACACTATAAAATCTTGGCTCACCCTCTGCAAAGAAAGCTGAAGTGAGCTTGTTGATTTAGGACAACCACCTCAAATTAATTGATTCTAAAAGAGCGTGGCATCCCTAGTCATATGAAAGAGATCCTAGCAATGTTTTTTCCTGCCATATCATTCATGAGTAATAATAATTTGATGTAATATTCAATTACACACAAGTCAGCTAGAAAAACGTAATAGGTACCCTACAGGATTAGCAACTGATTAAAAGCTAATCAGAAGTAGCATTTTAACAAATGTGGTTATTGCTACTGACTTCCAAGTCAGTAGCAATCAAAAGATTAGTCATTCTTTAGAACAAAATCAACATCAACCAAGAAATGTTAAGTAGATAAGCCAAACCAGCTAAGATAGAATAAGAAACGTTCCATTTGTCTTTTAAGAAGTTCACTACGTGTGGTTAAAGAGAGAGATGATGAAGGCTGAAATCCAGGGAGTAAGTCCCATTGAACCCAGTGGGGCCTAATTCTAAGTAGACACAGGATTGTACAGTTTTTTTAGCAACTCATTGCATGAGACTACATGACACTGTCATCAACCAAGCAAATAAATTATGCAATAAATCATGCACAACCCATGGTGTGCCTGACAGATGATCAGGTTCACCTTCCGTTGTCCTGCCATCCCACTCTTCCTCTCTTGGGCCACCAGCCGGTACCTCAGGGGACACTGCAGCTGAACCCTGTTCCACTCACGACCTCTTTTTGGCCACCACTACAGCCTTTCCCCCACTTTTTGCAATCTTTTCATGATCTCTGCCAGTGACAACCCACCCAACACATCCAAGCAAGACACTAAACTTGTTTGAGCCATGGTTCTTGTCAATGGTTCACCTCTGCCCATGGTTGGCCACTTTTTAATTATCTTTTCAGCAACAAAACCATGCACACATATGTTCATAACGTAGGGATGGAGTGCACAACTGCACACCTCAGTTCTTCCCTGCAGTCACACAGAGCTTCAGAGGGACTCCAACGCAGCAAATCTTCTGAACACGTATGAAGGTCGATGCACCATCAGCTATGAAACCCTATCCTGTCCCGAGTCAGAGGCAGTGATACATTTTACCTAACCACCAGGGATACTGAAAAATTAAAAGGTATACAGAGTACAGCTACAAATGTGTGAATGGGATTAAATGGCTTCACTCTAGATCTCTCCAGTTTACAGGCAGTATGTCAGCTACTAGCCAAATGCCGGAACCCCCTTATGGTGAGACTAGCAACCCTACCCAGCATTGGCAGAGTGGATGAAATTCTGAGGCTATGAGCTGCAATGCTAAGACAACATGCCAGTATCAATCCCTCTGGCACAACAGCTGTCACTGGTTTTATTATGCCAACTGTTGGATGCCCCTCCCAATGGTCCAAACATTTGTCTGGGGAGAAAGGTATGTTAAGCAATCTCTCAGTCAGTCCTCCTACGGCTTATGACTGATCTGACAGCCCATTCTCTTCCCTCTGAGAAAGAGACAGGAGAAATTAAATGTAAATGCACAACCTAAAAAAATAATCAAAAACCCACACTGTGCCAACCCCCCCCTCCAAATCCTGTAGACTCACCTATGTGGCCTCCTCCTCCTCCTCCTCCTCCTCTCCTCCTTAGGCCTGGGATGTTTGAGAATGTTCATACATTCTTTAACCAAAGTAACTATTTCAATATCATAACTTGCCTCAGAACAAGCTTTCCACAGCTGGTACCCTCCAGGTGTGTTTGACTGTAATTCTCTTGATTCCCAGCCAGCATGCCACAAAGAAGTGCAGGTGCTGTGCACTAGAAGATCTGAGGAGAGCTGCCCTAAAAACCCCAGAACACTTGTGGGGAAGCTGAAAATCATATATTAGAGAATCTCGTGGTTATCTCATGGGGAAATCAGGTCAGTGCAACTAGTTTAGCTTTGATTACAAAGTTTTTCCTAGAGTAACCCTAGAAGGCCCTTTTGCCTTTTTAATGGTAATACAGAAAGGAAGAGGCATTTCACATTGACCAGTACACAAATAGGAAAATGATCATGTTTAGCATATATAGGTTAACCCTAATCCAGCTACTGATAATCCTGCTCTCATTGTCTCACACCTTCAGCAACAAATCACATCATGGTGGCTCTATCAATCCAAGTGACAATTCCTAAGCCTAAAATGCACCCTGCTGGATTAAAACAAAGATCTATCTAGTCTGCGGCTGTGAACTAGAAGCTCTTTGATGCCCTTTGGAAAAATAGCCTCATAATGACAGAATTTCAACACACACACATTTTTGTTTATCCATACAATTCAGAAGATGGGTGAGATAGTCTGTTAAAGAAATGTGTTAATCTAACAGCCTTCCATTCCCAACTTCAAACATATGTTTTAACTCACCAGCTGTACATAAGCAACCTTGTAATCTGGCTTCTTGATATGTCTGTTTTTATGGTCCCTCTGCTTGTTTGAACCTGTTAAGGAGATGAACATTTGAAAGGACTTCCCATGAGCTATCCCCCCATTTCCCTAATAAATGCTTCTTCAATTAGGGACGGTTTCAATGTTTTGGGGAGTTCAGTTTTGCAGTTGTAGAAAGAGAATTCCATGTGCTTAGAAATGGTCCTATGACTACTCTGATCAGAGCAGGTCAACTCTTATCTCAGAGCCACTGGGAGCCGTTGTTATTTAAGGGTTGTTTCCCCTACATGCCATGCCACCCAGGTTTTCACAGCATGACAAGTTGTGCAAAGGTGGGCAATTAAGCAATTCAAACAAATCAGGGTGGCTAATCTATTTGTACGAAACTGCCCGGTCTCTGTTATAATTGCACAGCCATTGACCTCTTTTGGCTGCCTGTTCCACACAGATGTACATCAATGCGGATTTCACAAGAAGGTAGAAATCAAGACATTTTAGGTGAAATCTAACTTAAGTTTGCATTCACAGTAACTGATCTCACAGGATTTATCTCGTGCATCTCCAAAAAGTGTAATGCTAATTGCAGCAAAGCCCATTCACATCCACCAGATTTGCACAGGACATGCTCCCATGGGACTATGCGCAGGAAAGGTAAATCTGTTTGCATAGTTAGTGGATTTAGCATAATATTTACCATTGATTTGTCTAAAGAAGCTTTAGCAAACCTCCCTGCCTTGCCATTCCTCTCACCACCCTTTCATTATCTATCTTCTTTGGAATAAATAAGAATATTCTCATTGTTTCCCCTTTCTTGGAAACCTGGAAGCTTCCCATCTGACTCAGCAGATCTGCTTTCTTAATCAATTTTACTATCTTAATCTGCATCGCTGATTTGTATACAACCACCAATATTCTTGTAGAGGGAAAAAGACTTCTGCCCTCCTGCTGCGTTGGACTTCAGTTCTCACCAACTCTCAGCCAGCATGGCCAAAGAAGGTATGTTCCAGGCCACCTTCTTCATGTCTTTTAAGTCAATCAGAGTGCATACAAATGATGGCTGGTTTCTTAGGAAATTTTAATGATTATAGATGTATCAGTAACAATAGACTATAAACCCAAATGTGATCCTATGAAGCAGAAGATGAGAATACAAAAATGAAGCCCAATTCACAATGGAATCAATTAATTTACGCCCAGCTATAACATCCTTTTTTATCCTGTTCTATAGGGTGGCAATCACAAGGGTGGCAATCACAATAAATGACAAGCAACTGACTCTCCAAATACTAGAGATTTGGGGGAAAGAAAGAAAAATGTAACCCAGCAATTTTGCTGAAAACACAGAACTGGAAAGACCATCCAAAAAAAAAGACTTAAGACTCACCATGCTGGATCCTGGTTCTTACAGCAGCCACAGGAACATTGTAAATTTTTTCAAGGTATTCCTTCAGTTCCACTCTTGTCATCCTGCACCAAATGCAAGCAAACCATTGAAACACAACAGGCGTCTTCATTTAATTTCTAGCCATGTCTTTGAAAGAAAATGTTTTTTATGTAGCTCAAGATTGTTTTAGTGGTGCAGCTCAGAGTGAGCAAAACTGAAATATAATCCAGACACAGCAGAGGTGTTACTTTTTACACTGGGAGACTGTTCAGCCCAGGGAAAGGGGAAGCATAGGGTCAGCCCTGCTGCTCCTGAATACCCAGGGGCACAAATAGCCAGAAGTGCCTTTTATCAACTTTATGTTATACACCAACTGTGCCCTTTCTTGGAGAAACCGCAGCTCACTTCAGTCATTCTTGTTCTTCAGGCTGGATGACTGTAACAGACTCACAGCGGGTTGTCATTGAAGAGAGCTGAAACGCTTTAAATGGTTCAGAATGCCACTGCCATGTTTTGACGGGAGCCTCTCAAGTCCCCGCAGTCACCAAGCCACATCAGTCATCTTTTCCCCCAGGGTCGGGTAACTTGTGCCCCTCCAGATGTTTTCGCCCACAATTCCGACCAGCCTTAACCAGCATGCCCACCAGTGACTGATCCTGGCCAAAACATCTGGAAGGCGCCAGGGGTGGGCAGTATACCTTTAACCCATTTCACTGCCAATCACTTGTTCCTGGACTCAGTTCAAGGTGCTGGTTCAATTTTTCGAGCACTATGCTTCCCGGGACAAGAATACCCCCAAGAGTTGCCTGTCCCATTTATACCTTGCCTGGCAGAAAATTCTATTCTAATTTGGAGGCCAACCATTAAGTCCCTCCACTATCTGATGTACAGTGGGCATTTCCCACCCTTCCCCACTGTGTTAAGTCTGGCCCTATTACTGCCTGTTTTTAGACAGGAAATAAAGATAACTGTACTTCAGTGGACTTTTCACACCCTTGTTTATTAAGAATTTATTTCAGTCTATATGGGCATGCTTTGTTTTAAAGATCTGATAGAATATATCTCATATCTTCATTATCACGATATTGTTTGCTTATTTTTAGGACTTTATGCCATCTTGAATACCACTATAGAAAACTGAGGTAGAAATGGAAAAACACCAATCACCCCACCAAGCAAAGTCCCAGGGGAATCATTATTCAGAAATTCAATCAGCTGTTCCTGCCATAAACCAAGGACATGTGCTAAAACATGATTTCAGAACATCAGCTTTAGCCATATGTGTCCTCATATTTTAAAAATAGTCATGGGCAGAAGAATCAGTGATTAATCCAGCATTTGTTCAACATTTGTTAAGGCTGTCCTCATGCACACTGAACTCTGAAATAAGCTGCATTTGAATCAGCGGCTTGCTTCCAAACATGGTTAGAAGCCCAGTATAAAACACATGTGCACACACACGCACACACACAAATGGCACCCAATACCACTATTAAAAATTAATAAATTTTAAAAAGCACAAAAACTCATGAACTCATTTAGTGGGTGAAAACTACTACTGCAGAGAGTTTAAGTAAAAGAGAGAAACAGTACATGGGCCCTGCCAATACATCAGCACCAAGTGAGACCCCATTCTCTCATTTGTGTCTCCACCCCCAGAATCCAAGCCAATCTTAAAGAGCATTTTGGGAAAATGTTTTATCTTTTAATTATTACAATGGTTTATAGCCTACCTTTCAGGATACAAACACTTGCAGGGACGCTTACAAAAAGTAGCACTGATTTCATGATGCATCACTAGCACATATTATTTATTTAGAAGATTTGCAGCTCCACTTTCTATCAGCTGACTATCAAGGAAGCTCTCAACAGATTATAATAAATGGGCACACACAAAGCACAACTCCATACAATTTGGCCAAAAATCAGGGGGGAGGGGCAGAGTTCCACAGTCACAAGGAAACTGGCATTTAAAGCCAAGGATTGCTTCTAAGCCAGAAGTGAGCTCCCAGCAGCTACTCCTTCTTCTGTGACCAATGGATGAGCCCAAAGTGGTCTTCCCCTTCACAATGATATTCTTCACTGCCATTGGTTCAGCCTTCCTTCAGCTCACCTGCAGTCCTAAAACAACCATATGAATCAGGACTCCCTGCACAGTTTTTCAGAGCTTTACCCATCCTTTGCCACACCATGGGAAGCAGATTACCCAATTGTTAGTACAGGTAGTCCCCAGGTTATGGACAAGTTCTGTTCCTGAGAACATCCTTTAGTCGAATTTGTATGCAAGTCAAATCACATGAGTAAGCCAAATGTTTGAATTTGTTTTACCTTTCTTTGTATATAAAACACTTAAAACATCTTAAACACAATACAGCATTGTAATAATACAGTAATAACAAAGTAAGTTATTTGTTATTTGTATGTGTGTATGTAGGTAGGTAGGTATAAGGTATTGTACAAAACACATTTAAAAAACAGTTCTTAAAACAGTTTAGAACATTCTTGAGGTACAATTAAGTCTAACTTTAACTGATGGTGAAGGAGATGGACCTCATGCTGGAGAATCAGGATCTGAGAGGTGGAGGGTGGGGTACCAATGGAGTTGCTTTCTTGAAGTAGGGTTGTTTGTACAGCCATTTACTTTTTCTCGCCATAAGCAGCCTTGTAGCCACTGAAGGCCTTGGTAACTGCAGAGTAAAACCTTTGTGAACCTCTCTGTGTTAGGCTCTTGCTCCTCAACTTTGCCATCCCTACTTCATAGTGACAAAAAGCTGTGAATACTGTATCTCTAGGGAACTTTGCAGCCACTAAGACACATCGCTAAACGCATTGCATAGTTCCTGAGAGAGCTGTGGCTATCTCTAGAGAAAAGCCTTTAATATCTCTAGTGAATCTCTATCTCTAAAGAAAAGCTGTGAATATATGTAGGGAACTACATATTCCCTACATGAATATATGTAGGGAAGGAGCGCTTACATCCATATATGCCCGCCCGCCCCTTGAGATCTGCGGGAGAGGCCCTTCTCCGGGAACCCTCCATGAAAGAAATTAGGAGGGTGGGTACTTGGAGGAGGGCTTTCTCTGCGGTGGCGCCTAATCTATGGAATGCGCTCCCCAGAGAGGTCCACCTGGCGCCATCGTTGTTTTTCGGCGCCAGGCGAAGACCTTTTTATTTAAGCGGCATTTTAACTGTTAATATTATTGGATTTTTATCTGGCCAGGCGGCGGCTTATTTTATATTGTTATTTTTTGTATTTTAGCTTAAAGTTTGTATTTTACAAACATTTTAACTTAATATTATGTTAAGTTAATGTTTTAACTTAATGTTTGTATTTTAACTTAATGTTGTGAGCCGCCCCGAGGCTTCGGCGAATGGGGCGGCATAGAAATGTTTTAATAAATAAATAAAATAAATAAATAAATAAACAAACTATGCACCCACTGATGCATCACATAGATCCCTAAAGATATTCACAGCTTTTTACTAGATAATCATATGGGCTTTATGGCAGTCCCTGTGTATGTAAGTATGTTTTGTTCATAACCTGGATGTTCGTAACCCAGGGACCACCTGTATTTATTATATTATATTATATTATATTATATTATATTATATATGTATTGGATTTTATTTCTTTACCACCCAATACCCAAAGCTCTCTGAGAAACATACAGCAGTGCCCCTGTTTGTGAAACCCACGTGGTTTACTGCAGGGATGGAGAATGTGTAGTTGTCCAGATGTTGCTGGACTAACTCCCATCATTCTAGACCACTGGATATGGTGGTGGAAGCTGGAATCTCGCAACGTCTGGAGAGACACAAATGAACACCTTCTTCAAAGGCATAATCTTTTCATTCACAATCTGCCTCCATGGGAAGGCAGTGCTGCCCACCCAGCAGCACTAGAACTAGCTCTGTGTCTTATTAACAAAGAACAACAAGTCACAAGGGGATTTTCCTAACATTCTAACTAACACACAGCAGAAGACCACCAAATTCTGCTTGAGAATTTAACATTTGTCCCTGATATTGCAGAATCTTCTGCAGAACTAGAAAGACATTGGACTACTTTAGAATAACGTTCCCAACCTTAATGACATACATGGTACAGTAGAGGATCCAGTCATCTGAGACTCAGCAGCGGTTCTGAAACCTGGAGCTGTGCAAGACCCTACAACGAAGGGCAAACAACAGCCCTCCTGAGGCATTCAGATCTGTAACCATGAAGGGCACGTGGAGATAGGTGCTTCAGCCCATCTGGCCCTGATCTTCCCACACTGATGGGAGGTCTGAACAGGAACTGTAATCTTGTCTGGTTGAATGTGGTTATAGTACTCAATTTACACATGGTTCCTGATCTGCAGAAAGTGGCTATAGTTCATGAAGAAAAGTGACTATTAAGAGCTCCCCAATCAACACAGGGATAGCACACCTCCCCCTGTGCCCTGCATGATCGCAGATTTCAAATGCATGAGGCAGGCTCACATTCAAAGCAATTTCTCATCGTACTAATGCCTATGATATGGTGTACTTGCTTACTGGCTGTAACACTGGGGAGGCAGGCATTTTCACAAAATGTTTTAAGCAGCAGGCAGGTATCCCCTTCTCTATATGTACTTACTCCATTGGAATGCGAAATTGTACTGTGTCTTCTGGCTGTGAAACACCAGGCCTTACCAGAGTTAAGAAATAATCAGTCCGGAAAACCCTTAACTGAGGATTTCCCAGTTGGTACAGGGGATACCTGCAGAAAAAGGAAATAAATAAAAATAATTAAAATGGACATCTAGGAACACCATTTATTACTAGCATGTGGGAAGCACAAATTCCAACTTGAAACCTTGTTTAAAATAAGCAGCTTCTGTAGATTTATAAACATTTCTAGACAAAGGTAATAATGATCTATCGTGGAATAAGATGACCTAAGAAGTTTGCTCTGGTATATGGCAAGGGCTAAAGCAGAGAAATGGAGTGGGCTTAGGAAGCAGATACAGAGGAGAAAAGCAAGCAAATCAGCAGAGGGGAAAGCCAAGGAGAACAAGAGGAAGGGAAGCTTCACCATGACAATTTTGCTTCCATTTAGAACACAGTCTGCTTCAAATGTTACAGAATTCCCACGCAGGAGACTTTTGTGCAGGAATCATGTGCAATCTGTGTGTATATCATAACAAGGCACAACCATACCATTACGCTAGTCACTGAATTATATACATCACTGAAAGCTGTGCCTAGCAATGCCTACCCAGGGCATTTGCTGTGTGAGTTGTATCCACGATCTGTTTCTTGCAGGCAGAATGGCTATGCTCATGGAAGGTGCCTCTATCTGATTTTCTGCCACCCCGCCCCATCCCCACACCACAGCTCACCCATTCAGTACAGCCCCATGACTCTCGGCTTAAAGTTTTCAGAGGACCAGAGCAGCTGCCATGGGAAAAAGAGATGGAAAGGTCTTCTCCCACCAGTCCAGTTGCATGTGACTAATTCTGAATCTGACTTTACATGTGTAAAATCACAAAACACAAACACACACAATACACATGCAATTGTGAAAGATTATACAGTTTGCATGCTAGTTCCTGCCTCAAAGATTTGGGGAATTAAAAACAATTGTCAAATCTTGACATCCGAATGCTTTCTTTTAATAAATTACTGGAGTCATTAATAGAGAAACTTGCAGAAATGGACAGAAAAATCTGCAGAAATAAACAAGTGTGCAGGCATTGGAGAACCCTTTCTTTTAAGCGAGTCCAAAAATCTGTGTTCAAATCAATATGGAATTGCAATTCTTGGAACTGACAATAATACCTTTCTCTTGCAAAAAGGTGCTGGATTCAGTAAAGTAGCAAACCTGTCAGTTCCCCACTTCTAAGGGTCACTGCAGAGTTACAATTGCCAGAGGAATAGCCCTGTCAGTCTATTGCAGAAAAATGCATAGTCTTGTGGCACTTATGGCATAAACAGTCACAGCCTACAATCCATTCAATCAGATACATGGTGTCATCCTAAACTGCACATATAAGGTGTGTCCAGAAAGTAATGAGAATGATATTTTAGAAAGTCTTTTGTTGAAAAAATTTACAATTGAACATTGTTTCCTTCAAAGTATGCACCTTGTGAGTCTACACAATGCTCCCAGCAATTTTCCCATTATTCATAGCATCCCTGGAAGTCTTCAAGTGGGATGGCGTTCAGAGCCTACATAGTGGCTCTTTGAACATTATTCACACTACCAAAATGGTGTCCTTTCAAACCATTCTTCATCTTTGGGAAGATGAAAAAGCCACAAGGAGCCAAGTCAGGGCAGTAGGGTGGATGGAGAAGCACCATGATGTGTTTTTCAGCCAAAAACTCTCTGACAGCCAAAGCACTGTGACTCAGTGTGTTTTCATGATGAAGGATCCAAGTTGGGCCAGTCTCAACTTGTGCTATCGGTACGCTTGTGCAGATGATAGTGCAGCTTCTCCATAAGCTTTCCTCACCATTTCCAAAGTTTCTGATGCACTTTTACCCAATTTCACACAATCTTATCACATACCGCTGTTCCAAACTCACTTGCATTTTTCTTAATATGGGGGACTTGAACAGGGTGTCACAAAAAGGAATGTCTTGACTCTGGCAAGGCTGGAATTATTATTATTATTATAACATTTCTATGCCGCCCCTTGCCGAAGCCTCGGGGCGGCTTACAACACAATAAGATACATTGAAATACAATAGAACATAATAAATTACCAATAAATACAAAAATACAAAAAATACACTGAGATATAATAATATAAAATTAAAATTAACAGTATAAAATAAGTAAATAAAGAATATAGGAGGAGGAAAGGAATGCAACTGATCAGTGCTCTAATTTATACCTGGCACTCCAGCCTAAGTTACCTTGGCCAGCTTCTCCCTTCTCAGAGCCTTCTCGAGCATAGAGACTTCATTCTCATTACTTTCTGGACATACCTCATACATATACCCATAGTTAGTGGAGGGTTATTTTGCAACGAGTTATGTCAATGGGTAAAGATATGCAGAAGGAATAAACAGTAGCAATACACTATAAACAGTTCTCATTCACAAAACAGCTGCTGCTGGTAACACATCTCAGCATAAGGTAAGCCAATTAACACATGATTTTTGAAAAATCAATCCTGAATCAAGCCCTAAGTTTTTACTCAATCGGTTACATGGAGCTGAAAATTTTTCTGAAGCCAGGGAATACCATCCTGCAACTTTAATAACGATTATCTCTTAAACCTATTTACACAGTGTTACACAACAAAACCTGAAGCCATATAGGATGGAGCCACCCAGAAACACCCCCTTCACAAATGCCCCACAGCCTCTAATTTAAAGTAACATACGAGGCTTCTTAAGCTTGTTGAGCCACTGCAGTCTCGGGAATCATGACTCCAAAAATCAGAAGCGAGAACTGCCTCTAGCATTCCTAAAGCGTCCTAAACGTGTTTAAGCAGTTTTAAATTCCATGGTATTTCAACTGGTTTGCACCTGCGTTTTTAATGCCTTATCTAATGTTATCTGAGTTGACAATGGACGGAGGTCAACAGAAGCGGCACAGCGATGACAGGAAGAGAGGACGTAAACTGGGATCTGAACCGGAGACTCCGGGCTGCTGCGACCGCGAGTCGAGCGCTTCGCACGTGACTCCGCAGCCGGCACGAGCCGGCGGCCACCGCCACGAGCCCGCGAAAAGCAAAAAGGAACATGGAACCCGGAGACTGAATTGCGCGGTGCGCGCGGAGACTGCAAGCAGCTCCTTCCTTTCCTGCCCATTACTCACACGATTCGCCTAGCCATGACTGCCACCTCGCTCCACCGACAACCTCATCGCCTCCGGAAAAGGAGACGGACGTCCGGCTAAGGGACGGGAGCATAGAGGTAGGAAACTGTAGAGTCACCATAGCGCTTGCCCGGAAGCAACCCTGGCCGGTTTTTTGGACAAAAGCCTACTCGCGTCTGCTCAGTTTAATGCACCTTGCTCTCTGAAAAGTGTCGTGCAGCCACCGAGGTCTTTCTCACCATGGGAAACGATGGGGAAAGCCAAGATTCCAGCGTGTGCTTTTTTTCCCCCGCCCTAACAAGGAGTACCAACTCCCTACGAGTCGTACAGCGTGGAAAATATTAAAGTTCACTCCGATTTTTTTAATATTTTAAGACTATTCGTCATCGCTACATGGTGCACTAGCTGCGAGCAAAGTGAGAAAACGAGGGTAGCTTACGACAGCCTTGCAGTGTAGCCCGCTGTTCATACTGCAAATGATGAATGGGAATGGGGCTAATTTGGCTTTCTAGCACTAAATTTGTCGTACTGTATGTCCCTTATGTTGCAGTAAAAGCAGCAGTGACCTCTTCAACATTTTCTCAATAAAGCTGGAACATTTTTCATTCTCTAATGAAACGAATTGAACGAATCGCTCTAGAGATTTCGGGGGAGAGAAACTGAACAAGTCGCCCTAGAAAATTAGAGGGATTCTCCTGCTTGCATGTACAGTTTCCGACTAGAACATGGAAGTAGATGTGCATAACTTTATTTTTCTATCTCTATGGGCTCTCCAGTGAAATTTCTTTTGAAGGTCATAGATATGAACAGATGCGCTGTCCCCCGCTCGAACTCATCGTATCTCGCAGGAGCCTGACAGTTCTACAGAGCTAGTGAAAATGAAGAGGGGTGCATGCATCTTTCTTTTTTTCGGGTTTATTGCAAGTACGCGCGCGGGGAGGGGAAGTGAAGCGCTCCCCGTTCACGCACGCCAATGCAGAGTCAAGCAGCCTAAGGGCATTCGTAAGCTCGCTTTCTCAGGCAGGTGAGCAGGATCCGGCCCACCTCAATACTATGACCAGTTGGAAAATCACTGGACTGTTACACCCAGCAGCGATGCCTTCGGGCAATTTAAGAAGAAAAATACTCAATGTGCTGTTATGATCAGTGTTTAATAATCCATAGATATCAGTGTATTCTAACGCGCATTCCCAAAGAGATCTGACAAAATGTTTTGCATTCTGAACCTGCTGATCCTGCAAGTCAGGTTGTAGGATCCTACCCTACTCCTTTTTAGGCCTAGAATAATTTCAAGAGGATCTTGTCAAGAAAGGGTTTGTTTGCTTATGTCCAACTTAGTTCAGTCCATTCTAACATGCAGGCAATACCTGAGTGCCTTTTGTCTGGACAGTTATGGACAATCCTCAAATTCACTGTGAGAGCAACAAAATATTCTGAATCACATGCATTCAAATCGCCATTCAGATAGAACAGATGCATTACAATGGCCACTGTCTACCCTTTAAGTATGTCCCTGGGGTTTAGCCACTGCAGTGTGTGTTCTTCTCAGTGTCTGAGAGGAAAGTCTAAGAAACCTCTTCCCCATGTTCCCACAACTCTGGAGCTGTCTTGGCTTATGGTTGCTCTCTGCACAATATCTGTATCAATAATTATTAAATTGCATTTATATTCCACCATTTTTCCCCTTTGAGGAGCCCAAGGTGGCTTACATGGCCGCAGCCTCACAGAGTCTGTCTGGCCCAAAGTCACCCAGTGAGCGCCCTGGCTGAGTAGGGGCTAGAACCTGGATCTCCCGGGTTCCACACACTAGCCACCACACCACAATAGCATCTGTGGGTGTGGAACGAGGGGCAGGTTCTGCCTCCATCACATTATACTCAGCTGCAAAACTGTATGTATTCCATCCCCACAGGGAGGAACAGGAACACTGGAGGCTGTCTTCTCAGGACAGACAATTGGTCCATGCAGTTTAAGTGTTGCTTACTCTAATTGGCGGTAGACTTGGACAGCGGCCTTTTAATCAGCACCTACCAGATCCTTTCAACCACCTCTGAATGCCACTGCTATGCCCACCCAATGGACGGGGACTGGGTGAGTTCATGTTCTTCCACTCTCCTTGCCACATCCCATGTGACTGAGATGAGGCCTTCTGATCTTGACTGGATGTCACCCTGGCCACCACCATCCCTTGGCCTTCCCAGGTATATTACATTCACCTTCCTCAGTAGTCCAGGTAACCTCATAGGGATGAGTTCAAGGGAGAAAGGGGGCTGGTGACCCTCTCCACACCTACCAACCTTGACCATGGATCATGCTAACTTGAGCTGCATTTTGGAGTTGCAGCCCAATATGCTTTGGGGAGCACCTTATAGCCAATCCAATACAGCTTTCCCCCAGCTAAGAGTGCATAGCAGAGGTGGGGAACTTTGAGCCAAGGGGCCATTCTGTCCCCTGGAGGCCAAATGTGGCCCTGCAGTGTTCCCTGGATGTCATGCCCCCTTCCTTTGACCCCACCTCTTTCTCCCAACCAGTGCTTAATTGGTGGATTCCTGCTTTTGTGTGTGAAGGGGGGGGGGGTCTGTTTTCTAAAAGGTTGAAGCGCCTCTCTTAAGGCATTGTTACAGACACAAAGACCTTTCGGCTAAGATATGGTGGTATGTTTGATCCTAATTCTTTTGCCCACCTGCTTTTGCCTTCAGTTCCACCCACAGCTAAAATACAGTTCCTGAGCTTATACAAAATTAAATTTGGCCCTCAGACATGCACACACCAATATGAGGGTACCGTCTTTAGTCTTAGTCATGTTCGACTAAATGCAATCCAAAGAGGAAGCACAGAGGAAATGGGAGGGGGACATAAGCAAACTCAGCTCCAGGCCCCCTTGTGTTGAACCAGAAAGTCCAAAGAGGCTATTATGTTTCTTTAAAAGGAGAATAATTATAGGTATATATAAAATTATGCATGCAGTAGAGAAAGTAGATAGGTAGATACCTAGTTTTTCTTACCCTCTTATAACACTGGAACCCAGGTTCATCTAACAACACTTTAGATTCAGGGCAATGCAAGACCAGCAAAAGAAGTAATTCTTCAGATAGCTTAGGAAAGAATGGTATTCACCCCCACAAGATCAGGTGATGGATACCAACAGATGACTTTAAGAGATTAGATGCATTCATCAGCATAAGTCTTATAAACAGTGCTGGCGGTGGTGGCTGCATTCCAACCGGATTTGCAAGAAACAAGAAGACATCATGGGTGTGTTTCCCCACAGAGTGTCTCATCCCACCAGCCATTGCCTTTTTGAATATTTGGGACATGGTAGGGACACACTAGGCTTTCTCGTTATGTGCAAACCCGCTGGAAGTAGGTTGCTGGCATGCTTGGCAAGCTACCTGCAACCCAAGGGGAATTTCATCCATAGTGACTTAGATGCAAAGTCGGACTCTGTCTCCAGGGTCAAATGCACTATGTCTCTATGATCTGCTTATGGGCTTCCCATACGAATCTGTCAGCTGCTGTATGAAAGAGGGTAATGCACTAAGCAAGCTTTCATTTTAATCCAGCAAGGCCCATAGGAGGTGCAATTGCTGGTAAGCATGACCCCAGCTTCCTCTGGAAGATGCAAGGAGGAAAGCAAATGGGGATTTTGGAAAAGCAGGTCTGGTGGACAGTCAAAGATCAAAGAAGTTCTGGTCCATAAATTGATGGGTATTGGCTTTCTTTATGACCCAAATTTTCTACTGGGCTCTTTTTGCTTTACAGCTGTGATTCTATGAACCCTCAACTGACATAGAATGGCTTACTTCTATGTAAACAGGCAAAGGATCAGAGTGTAAATTACACCTCAACCTTATACAGTCTTTGTGTAGTGTAAACTGACATTTATTTACTTTGCCAGTCCTTTGCCAATTTCTATTGCCTGACTGGGTCAGTAAACTCCAAATTTTTGGTAGAAGATATATCCTTAACCAATTGTAGCAGACAGAAAAAGAAGAATGGCTACTCATGTGTGGCTGAAGTCTATTACTGGTTACACTTTATTTACAAAACCAAAGGATTCGTACACTGCAATCTATGGGGCAGCGTAGGGCTGGAATTAGGAAAATAAAGGACACACGCAGCAGGTAGTAAAAGGTGTCAGCAGGGAGTCATCTTCATTCCAGGGTGGTGGTTCTGGAGGATGAAATAAGCAGTAGGCAATTCAGGCTGATGTTGCAACTATGGTTTTGCTCAGGCGAGGGAACAGAATTCATGTTTAAAGAGGACTGGGGAGGCCAGCAATGTTTAGCCATGCCAACGCTGAAGATTCGGCCTGCAGGTCCCTTCCGGATCTTTACTTCCAGCGCCCTCCAACTTTGCCTTTGGCTCCAGCCTTCTTGCTGCTGTAATACAGAAAGGAGAAAAACATGTCAGCGTGCCTGCGGCAGTGTCGTCTTTTTCTAACCCTTTACTTTGTCCTTTTGGTAAGCTGCTCTGCAATTCGTGTCACTAGCCCAGGTGAGTTGCATGCCCCTTCATCTGTGTGGTTCAGCACGAGAGGAAGCACAACAAATATCATGGGGTTTTAAAAAATGTTTTATCACAACCAGTGCAGTTTTTACTTAATCAAGGAGTTGCCAGTCCATGAGTCCCACTGGGACTCTGAATCATTTGTCTCTCCCCAAGCAGCCCTGCCAAATATCTGATAGTCAACATATCATTTAAAAGGGCCACAGATTCACTCATACTTGTCAGAAAAAAACCCCACAACTTAAGGTCAGAGTTCTCCTGACTTTGAATATGTAGTGCCCAAGCCATATCTAAATACATGTATACCAGAACTGTGAATCCCATATGGCTAGACAGTGCCAACTGTATTATACAGTCTGATCAACCATGAAGAGGTTGTGTTAGGGAACAAAATATATCTCCAATATGTATAGCAAATAATTAGTCCCTTAAAATAGAGAAGTTGCCCTTTCTTGACTTAAAATCTTAACAGAAACTATGTTCAGAGATTGAACTGAAACATATTTCAAGCTTGCTACCTATCTGATGGCTCACAAAGCATTACTCTTCAAAACTGCACAAAGGCCTTTGCCGAGACTAATTCTACTTTTTCTGTAGTCATGGGGAACAGGTATATTATCCTTGAGTTCTTCTGCTGTGGTTGTGTGATTTCTGTATTGTTTCATTTTGCATGCAACTGAAACAACACCCAAAACATGCATGGCACTTACCTTTCTGCTATGATCTAAGTACACAGCTGAGTTCCAGGTGAGTAAGTTAGTCTAGTGTTAACATTTCTGCATTGTGACAGCAACAGATTCCTCCTGAGATGCAGCAGTTTGCTTGCTATTTAGTCCTCGCTGGTACTACAAGCTACACAAGTTAGCCTGGATTAACAACCGGGGGACTGTAGCATGGGGACTGGAATATCAGCTTTCTGAGGAATTTTCCAGGATAGACTTCTCCAGGGAACAGGGAGGTGCTTAGATACAGTAGCTACAGGGAATGTCTTTCATGCTTACATGGTTTCCAACACTAGTAGATTTGTTCTGCGATAGCTTCCTGTGTGAGAGGATCTGTCATAATGACACCCACGCATGCATACACACAAACACACAAATAGTGTGCAAATACTTTACCTGTCAGTTAACTCAGATTCTAGAATGACACTCTGTTTTGAAAACAACCTTAGACCTTAGAGAACAACACTGGCCAAATGTTTTCTCAGAGAATGGAGACTAGTGGCACCCCAGTCCTCTAACTTATTCTAGCACATGTGCCTATAAAGCCCATGCAACAAACATGACTGATTATTATCCTGACATTGCACTTGTGCTATAGGCAGATTTGGTAGGCTTTATATGGAGCGCTTCTTTGCAAGACTAGTAGAGTTTCCTGAAGTTCAAGAAGCTCAAGGTCGCTTACACCCACCTCAGTACTGCTCTGGTCACCATTACCACTGGGTTCCAGATGACATTCAGTCCCTTTGCACTTGCTTCAAGTTGTCAGTTACTGCTTCTACAAAGGATGGTCTGTTTTATGACAAAAAGCTGCCTCTTTCTTCAAAGTGCCACAGCTTCCTACACAACTATTTTAAACTTCAGAGGGCCTTTCTATCTTTAAAATCTGAATTACATAAATCTACTTGGATTGCATGAAGTCCTGTCATTTGCCTTATCTTGTCTGGGCTGGAGTAGATATTATTATTTAGAAGCATTACCACTGACAGCCAGTGTGGTGTGGTGGTTAGGGTTGGACTGGGGTTGTGGGAGAGCCAAGCTCTAGTCCCTGCTAGGCCATGGAGCTCACTGGGTAAGTTTGGGCCAGTTGCTCACTCTCAGCCTAGCCAACCTCACAAAGACTGTGCATGAAGAACAGGAGAGTCGAACAGCATCTGAGAAGCCCTCCCTACTTCATTCCTCCCACAGCTGTCCACTCTGAACAGTGACCTCTCATTGGACTGCTGCATCTTCTCCCATTGGCCTTCATCTCTGATGTATTAGGTTTCTTAATGGAGACATGCATCAATGGAAACATGGAGCAAAACCAAGCAAAAAAGTATATGATTTGCATAGAGGTGAGGCAGGGAAGGGAAATGAGGAGGCTGAATGAAAAGAACCCATTGGCCGTGGACATCATTAGTGTTATTACACCCTGTTCCTTAGAATCTCAAGCATAATACACCCTGCCGCCTAAAGGACGTGCTTGGATTCAAGTGCACATGCTGGCACAAACAATTGTTGTATTCACAGGTGAACTTTGCAGATTCTCAGAAGAGGAGTGGGTTCTTTTGCATGACGGTTACAGATACACTTCAGTTTCACCAATGTTTTCTCAAGGGAAGGAAGCAGACTAGAATATGTCATTCTGCTCTTCCTTCCACCTCTTCCCTCTCCAAGAAGAAAACAAGGAAAAGAAGACTGAAGTGACCGCTGCAGACACATGAGTGGAGCTTCCAAACTTTGGGTTGGAAAGGGCTACGAATACTCACTGCTTCTGGGCCTGATCAATCCGGTTCCTGAGGGTGGTGATCTGCGAACAACATACATGACTAGGTTTTTAAAAGTGTTCTAACTTTCCATAGCAGAGGGAAGGCATTTACCTGGCAGGAGCTCTGGTGCATAGACCTGGGATAGGATCCTAACGTCTTCTTTTTTGAATGAAAAACGGATAGACAAAGACATTGCTACCTGGCAGCAAACTTACCAGAAAAGGTGTTATTTTCATGACAAACTGCTTGAGGGACAGCAGTGTGTGAGAAAGACTATCTGCTTTATCCTTCTTAGGGCACGATCCTATGCATATTTAGACAAAGTCCTACAACTGGCTGGAGTATGCTGGGGGTTGTAGGACTTTTTCTGACTAAACATGTATAGGATTATACTCTTTAAAGTTTATCTTGGTATATTTTGTGGAAACCATTTATATTAGATGTGCATGGTCAAACTGTGACTATGTGACGAGTTGTCTATGCATCCTGTCTATTTCTTCATGATCCAGTATTTTTCTGTTCCATCATCTTTGCTGGAAATTTACTAGCCAGTTAGCAAACATTGATTTGGAAGACAGAGATTGACCTGTATTGTCAGTGAAGAACTGAAAATAAAAAGATTCTGAAGCTGGGAAGTTAACCAGTGATGTTTGCTCAGCAACAATTACCTCTAGAGTTTCTCCTGGGTGTTGCTCGATACACATCAGCCTCTATTCTAAAGAACACAAGCAATTTTCAAAGGAGAGGTATTGCCTTTGGAAAGAGAAACTGGAATTGTTGGGCACTGAACTAAAAGGCTTCCAAAAGCCTTAACTGGCCATGGGAAATCTATGGATAACTGGAATTTTAGAAACTGCCAGTGATCATTGAAGAAGCCATTGACTGAGACTTCTTTCACATGTCACTGCAGTAACACATTAGCTTTTCCATAGCTAACGCTACCATGGTTGTGACCAAAACCAGAACCATGTGGGCAAAGCCAATTGCATGGATCCTTCTTATCTGATTGTCATCCAGATGGGAGGAAGAGCAATGATTGGATGTGAAGGACTTATACAATCAGTTTATGGTTCCAACTTCCAAACATCACAGCAAGACAGCATGAGAAGGAAACCAAAAGTAGCTCTTCTACTCCTGTGGTAACCATACAGAAATGAAGAAAGGGTCAGAGTTTGGTGAGTCCTGATCAGATGTACTACCTATTATTGTCAGGGTCTCCTTTTTATGCTAGTTCTACTTGGCTAGCCAGAGTAAGAGTTTTCAAAAGGTACAAGAAGGAAAGATTGGTGGGGGAAGGAATCAACCACAGAAGGAGCAATATGATGTGAATTCCAAACCACCTCCCGGATCCTGGTAAATGCTGCGGCCTTCTCATTTTTCATGGGAGGATACTATGTTTTCAGTCATGGTAGAAGTCACAACTGAATTTTCTGTTTATAGAAATGAACAGTGGAAATGTCAACTTCATATTTATGTCCTTGTAGACTGTAGTTTCCCTACTATTCCAGTTTCTCTGGTCACCATTTGGCATATGTTCACTTCCCCCTAAGAAATATGTTGAAAATGCAGACCTTTTTGATTAAAATTCTTCATTAGTCGTGTTCACATTTTTCTGAGTAAAAAAGTCCTAGAAATAATTGGCCAGCAATATAGTTTGTTGCACTTTGAAATACACAGTACTTAAACCAAAAAGAGTTCACATTTTAGCCTTCTTTCCCATTTTGGATTTGCAGGTCCCAGCCTTCTTCCATGGCAAGCAGAAACAAGAGACTCTGACACTGGAAGCAACATGACGCAACATGAAAAACGGCAGCTTAGTCACCTGATATACTTACTTGTGAATATTTAAAATCTGCCTCAAGGACCTGAATTCATTAATGGCGCTTAGGATTTTCCTCATATACCAGGTATCTGTCAAGCTTCCAGCTTAGCTCTGCTCATCCATAGAGCCTCCGTGCTTGGCACTTACCTTCACTACTAAACCTGCAATCAGCTGAAGATAACAGGAGTGGCACTTAAGCACTGGGCAGCAGAGATAGGCAAGAAAGTAGCAAGCCCTAAACCTGGCTTGCCATGGCTTTAAAAAGCAATGTTTTCTTTCCAGTGATTCCTTACTTTTTGGCCAGTTGTCTTTTTTGCCTCTTTTCATAAACTTTGCCCTGCCACCTTGCTCATTTCTGGTCAACAGCAATTCTCCTTTTAATCTCTCTAACTCAACGATTAAGAAAAGAGCCCCCTAATAATTGTCTTGATGGATTAGATTCAAGGTCCCTCATCTTGTCAAGGGTGGGAAGCCCACGTTGGACTCCAATTCCTGTCAGCCCCAGTCAGCACTCAGGGAGGATGAGAGCTGTAGTCCAACATCTGAAGGGCCACATATTTTCCACCTCTGATGGAAACCAATGTTTCCTTCTAACAGCAGGCAGGCAAATGCCTCCAAGAAAGTTCTGACAAGCCAAATGTGAAGGGGATGCCCATGCTCCATTAAACTTGTCTTTCTGGTTCCTCGCCCAGTCAGAATTCTGGATTTTCTGTAATCCTGTGGTATGGGGAAACTACAGCATCTTTAATCAGCACTTCATTTTCAGATGTGGAACACTTTCATGGATTATTTGAAAATGGCAAGCTTGACCTTTTAGAAGTTATGGGTTGTTTCTGTGGCAGTGCATTGACCTTACAAAGCAGGTACCTGAGATAATGGCTGGTTGTGTAGACCAGACTCAGGAATTCACTTCTCTGTCAATGCAGGATCAGCTAAGAATCTTACAAGCTGTCCATTTAAAGTGTCTAAGGACTCAGCTGGTATATCTTAGAGTAGTCTTCCCAACTTGGTGCTTTCCAGATGTGGCCAGGATGGTTGTACATGGTGGGAATTGTAGTCCCATGCATCTGGAAGGCACCAGTTTGGACAAGGCTGCTCTGCAGTGAGTGATACTGCTTCAGCTTGCACTGAATGACTAACTGGTGGCAGGAAAATACAACACAACACAACCCTGGTTCCATTGTCCTGCTCTCTGTGCCGGGAACTGAGTGCCAGTCTGTTGTCCATCTGGGTAAAACCTGGAGCACCCGGACTCTCAACATGCAGGAGGCTCATGCATGTAAACAGCCTGTGCTGCTTTTGTCACTTGAGTGAATTTTTTGTACTTACAACTTGGACAGTGCCTCCACCCTGCACCGTAGTGATAAAATCTAAGAGAGATCAAGACAATTACATTGGCTTTGGGGTACTTCACAAATCCAGATGTTTGAAATATGTAGTCAGAAAAAGATACACAGTCCAAATGACATTGGAAGTCTCTGAAGTTCCTCTTGTATCATGTCTTGTGAGCAAATGACAGAGGACTCCATGAGCATTCTAATGCCAGGCATAGCCTGAGAAGCCAGTGTGGAGCAGCAGTTAAGAGCGTGGGACTGGGACTCAGGAGGTCTGGGTTCGAGTCCCCGCTCATCCTTGGAGTTCACTGGGTGACCTTGGGCCAGTCACAGACTCTTAGTCCAACCCACCTCACAGGGCTCTTCTTGTGAAGATAAGATTGAGAGGAAGAGAATTATGTAAGGCACCCTAAGTTCCTTGAAAGGAAAAAAAGGCTGGATATACGAGTACATATAATAAATAAAGAAATTATATTTTAAGAGGGACGCTCTGTTCTCTTACATCTTCAAAATGGAGAGCAATGGTGGAGCAGATTTTGTACATTTGCAATCCCCTGTTTCCAGGTTCAGCTCACCTACATGGAGAGGGTGTAAAATATGTATTGCTTATACACAAACAGGTGAATATGCATAGGCCTGATAATGTGGGATTGGCCTGCATGTTATTCTGGTCTAAGCACAGTAGACTTAACACATGCACCGAGCATTTACTCTTTGTTCACTTGCCAGGAGAGGAGAATCTGGCTCACAGGATGATGAGAACTCAGGAGTATTTTTTTCTAGCCCAACATGAAGAGGGGGTGATCTATGCCCTTTTTATCATGGCAGGTATCAGGTAGACCCAGCAAGACAAAAGAAGAGATTGCGCTAGCCTTTCTGTACTACATACATACGGAATGTGAGTAGGAAAGGCAGGTGACATCAGAAAAGGGTTCAGCATTAGACCCCTAGCTATTTTAGTCCAGTGCCGATCAGTGGAGATGGGTGAATAGGGTTTTTCAACCTGCTCTTGGTTTCTGTGATGGAAAATACAACCATGTAATGAAGCATCACATGCACAAGGTACTTTATAATGGATACAGGCATATTAATCAACACTTTTCCTCCAGGTACATCATGAAGATATCTCTTATCCTTCTGTAAGTCAAAATCCACTCTGGGTAGATAATTTGGAAGTTACCTGTCCTGAGCAAACATGTTTATTCTATTGATAAGTACTCAGGATGGCACTTGAGGTGTTATGGACCTCCAGCTGGCCTCTCCAAGGTGGATAATAACCAATTTTGCTTTGGGCTAAGGAATAAACAGTATCATAAGTAAGGTTTCTTTTTCTACTCACATCATATTTTTGTCTCTTGATCTTCTCTAAATATTCATATTTCTCTGTTTCCAGCTGGTATAACCAATCCCACAACTCCTTGGCTTTATCCCTATTTGTGAAAAAGCAGAAACACAAACACATTTGAGATTGTGTTAGTGAGCATATAATCTAAGAGGTTTAGGGCACAATCTTATGCATGTTTGGAAGGGAAAATGTCTCCAGCAGTTGATATGCAGAAACATGCTGCTATTGACAGTCTGTTTTGATAGCCCATCTAACCCATTTCAAAGACATCTAAGTTGGCTGCTACCTTACCTTGCAGCAGCAAGTTGCATTATTTAACTATAAGCTATTAAGAAGTACTTCCCTTTTCTGTCCTGCATTGCCCACCATTCAGTTTCATGGGATGGCACTCGACTCTAGCATTATGAGAAGGGGAGCAAAACTTCTCTGCAGCACAACTAATAGCAGAATGTTAGCTTCTCTAACCCCTTCATGGATCACTGCCTTGTCATGGCGAAGGAGCTTGGTAAGATCAATGAAGCTATGAGCTATGCCATGCAGGGCCACCCAAGACGGACAGGTCATAGCAGAGAGCTCTGACAAAATGTGATCCACTGGAGAAGGAAATGGCAACCCACTGCAGTATCTTTGCCATGAAACTCCATGGACAGTACCAAAAGGCAAAAAGATATGACGCTGGAAGATGAGCCCCTCAGGTCAGAAGGTGTCCAATATGCTACAGGGAAGAGCAGAGGGCTAGTACTACTAGCGCCTGAAAGAATGAAGCGACTGGGTCAAAGCCAAAAGGACACTTAGTTGCAGATGTATCTGGGGATGAAAGGAGAGTCAGATGCTGTAAAGATCTATACGCCATAGGAACCTGGAATGTAAGATCCATGAATGAAGGCAAGGTGGACGTGGTCAAACAAGAGATGACAAGACTGAACATCGACATCTTAGGAATCAGTGAACTAAAATGGACAGGAAAGGATGACTTTAATTCAGATGACCATCAGGTATACTATTGTGGGCCAGAATCCCTCAGAAGAAATGGAGTAGCCTTCATAGTCAATAAAAGAGTAGGAAAAGCAGTACTGGGATACAATCTCCAAAATGACAGAATGATATCAGCTTTAATCCAAGGCAAAACATTCAACATCACAGTAGTCCAAGTCTATGCCCCGACCACTGGTGCTGAAGAGGCTGAAGTTGACCGGTTCTATGAAGGCCTATAACACCTTCTAGAATTAACACCAAAAAATGATGTCCTTATTATCATGGAGGATTGGGATGCTAAACTAAGAAGCCAAAAGATAACTGGAATATCAGGCAAGTTTGGCCTTGGAGTACAAAATGAAGCAAGGCACAGGCTGGTAGAATTTTGTCGAGAGAACATGATGGTCATAGCAAACACTCTTTTCGAACAACCCAAGAGACGACTCTACACATGGACATCACCAGATGGTCAATACAGAAATCAGATTGACTATGTGCTCTGCAGCCAAAGATGGAGAAGCTCTATACAGTCAGTAAAAGCTAGACCAGGAGGTGACTGTGGCTCAGATCATGAGCTTCTTGTTGCAAAATTTAGGCTTAAATTGAAGAAAGTAGGGAAAAGCACTAGGCCACTCAGGTATGACCTAAATCATATCCCTGATGAATATACAGTAGAGATGACAAATAGCTTTAAGGAATTAGATCTGATAGACAGAGTGCCTGAAGAACTATGGACGGAGCTTCGCAACATTGTACAAGAGGTAGCAACTAAAACCTTCCCAAAGAAAAAGAAAAAGAAATGCAAGAAAGCAAAATGGCTGTCTGAGGAAGCTTTACAAATAGCTGAGGAAAGAAGTGAAGCGAAGGGAGAAAGAGAAAGATACACCCAATTGAATGCGGAATTCCAGAGAATAACTAGAAGAAATTAATGCCTTCTTAAATGGACAGTGCAAAGACACAGAAGAAAACAATAGAATAAGGAGGACCAGAAATCTCTTCAAGAAAATTGGAGATATGAAGGGAACATTTCATGCAAAGATGGGCATGATAAACGACCAAGATGGCAGGGACCTAACAGAGGCAGAAGAGATTAAGAAGAGGTGGCAAGATTACACAGAAGAACTATACAAGAAAGACCTTAACGTCCCTGATAACTACGATGGGATGGTCACTGACCTTGAGCCAGACATCCTGGAATGTGAAGTGAAATGGGCCTTAGGAAGTCTGAGCAACAACAAAGCTAGTGGAGGTGACAGTATTCCAGTTGAGCTGTTCAAAATCTTAAAAGATGATGCAGTAAAAGTGCTATACTCAATATGCCAGCAAATTTGGAAAACTCAACAGTGGCCACAGGATTGGAAAAGGTCAGTTTACATTCCAATCCCAAAGAAGGGCAATGCCAAAGAATGTTCAAACTACCGCACTGTTGCTCTCATTTTACATGCTAGCAAAGTTATGCTCAAAATCCTACAAGCTAGGCTCCAGCAGTATGTGGACTGAGAACTACCAGAAGTACAGGCAGGATTTCAAAGAGGGAGAGGAACTAGAGATCAAATTACCATCATATGCTGGATCATGGAGAAAGCTAGGGAGTGCCAGAAAAGCATGTACTTCTGCTTCATTGATTATACTAACGCCTTTGATTGTGTGGATCACCACAAATTGTGGCAAGTTCTTAAAGAGATGGGAGTACCAGACCATCTTATTTGCGGGTCAAGAAGCAACAGTGAGAACTGGACACGGAACCAATGATTGGTTCAAAATTGAGAAAGGAGTTCGGCAAGGCTGTATACTGTTGCCCTGCCTATTTAACTTATATGCAGAGCACATCATGCAAAAGGTGGGGATAGTTGAATCACCAGTTGGAATTATGATTGCCGGGAGAAATATCAACAACCTCAGATATGCAGATGATACCACTCTCATGGCAGAAAGTGAAGAGGAACCAAAGAGCCTCTTGATGCGGGTGAAGGAGGAGAGTGCAAAAGTTGGCTTGAAACTCAGCATCAAGAAAATTAAGATCATGGCAACTGGTCCTATCACTTCCTGGCAAATAGACGGGGAAGAAATGGAGGCAGTGACAGATTTTATTTTCCTGGGCTCCAAGATCACTACAGACGGGGACTGCAGCCAAGCAATTAAAAGATGCTTGCTCCTGGGGAGGAAAGCTATGGCAAATCTAGACAGCATATTAAAAAGCAGTGACTCCTGCTTAAGTGGACTCCTGGGGATGGTGAAGGACAGGAAGGCCTGGAGGAATGTTGTCCATGGGGTCGCTATGGGTCAGACATGACGTCATGACTGAACAACAACAAAGCTTCTCTAAAGAAGGCCATTGAAGCACTCCCACCATGAAGCCATTTAATATACTCAGGTGATTTAGCATAAATCCCCAAGCTAATCCTTCTTACTAGTCATAAAAAACAGCATTTTACCTCAGTTTGTCTTCATTAAGATGGTCAATGTTTAGGGGTTTCCGCCTTTCTGCCAGTACCTTCTTCTTCAGTTCCCTCGCAGTTTGTTTTTTCCCTCTCTTTTGATCAGCCTGTTAAGAAACAGAATTTTCACATTCCTGCGTTAATTCAATCCCACTGAAGAAAGCAGATGAAAGTTGAAACTTGGCACACATGAGAACCTCGGACCCTCCAAATGAGTTGTACTACAACTCCCAATCTGGGTGAGAATTATGGGATTTGGAGTGCAATACTTCTGGATGGTACTACAGTGAAGAAGGTGGCACTAGAGCAACCATTCTTAAGCTAGTTAAGAACTCTGTTCTTAAGGAGTCACATGAATTCCTTCTTACAGTGTATTTCTTGACTGAGCCAAGAAATACTGGCTGGGTTCAGATTACACCACATACCATGGTGCTTGTTTTACCACTGCTGAACATGTAGTTTGATCTTAGCCATAGTATACTGTACTATGCTTCCTCTGAACCAGCATGGTTTGTTGTGTTGTCTGAACCCAGGATCATGGGTTATCCTTGTATGCAACTACCACAGAGTCCTCTGGAAAGAGTGGCAACTGCTGGAACCTCTTCAGCCACCCAGTCTCTATCTGTGGAGCAACTAGGAAGAAGCAAGTGCCATAGGCAGGGAGTGATGTACATGGGGACTGAATTTTAGGTGTGGCGGCTGATGGATACGTGGCAACAGTGAGAGGATTGAGCAGGGAGAGTAGAAACCACAATAACAGAAACTACTCGATCGTCAGGCAGACAAAAAATGTGAACCCATGCAGGTTCCTTGTCATGTATGAATGCAGCCACTGTCATCCTACCAGTCTTTTGTTCCTTTCTGACTAGAGGCAAAAATAAAAGATACAAATGCATGGTGCGTAGGTGATCGTACTTTTCTGGTAAACATGTGGGGACCCTATCTAGAGTGAGACTACCATACATGGGTGAAGCTTTTCTACACAGGCATTTCTTTTCATTAAAAAAGGGAGGGGGAGCTCCATAGGTGCCACCAAAGAAGTGCTGAGGGAAGCAGCTTTAATTATCTCCATATCAATTTCCTGGACAGTTGAGAGGCTCAGGCCCCTCTCAAACTTGTTTCCAGGCCTAAAGGGCATCATCCCACAGCTCCTGGTTCCCAGCTCCCCTCAGATTGTTGCCCACAGCCCAGCCCTGACAAGCCATCTAAAACAGTGGCTGCCTTAACTTTGTGAAGATTCGTTTCTTAAGAATCCCTGCTCTAGCACCTGATGGGAGAATATGCTGGGGAGAAGCATGACTTTCCTTGCAAAACAAAGTTGTTGGCATCTCTACAGAAGAACACCAAAGCTCCAATTCCTTTGCTTCAAAATTTTCATGCTGAAAGCTGAAAGTCTTTCAAGCTCTTGTCAGTATGGAAGGAGAGAATCCTTAGCATAGGAATCTTAGGGAATTCTAACTAAGAAAAGTTCAGCTGAGGAATCCTATACTTGTTTACTATTGGCCAAACCTCCCTTTCCCCACTCAAAGTAGATTTACCTTGGCCAAATAGCTGCTGTATGTTGCACCCATGGAGGAGAGAGCCTTCTTCTTCTTCAGTTCATCCTCTGCCCTTCTCTTGGCATCTTCCTCCTCTCTTCTTGCTTTCTCCTCCTGTGCAATGTAAAAGAGAGAATAACCTGGATCAGACTTGGGAAACCCCAGTGAGGCATAAAGGAGCAGGGACCTGTAACTTCTTTAAGGTAAACTGTAAGGTGGACTGCTTAGAAGAAACCCCCCTGAAGAAGTCTCTTGCTTAGACAGCAAGGTAGCAACAGGGCTTGCATGAGACATGTTGCTACCTAAATCAAAGGACAAGAGGGCAGCTCCTCCCCAGTTCAGGCATCTAAGCTCACTGGACTGGCAGCTGAACCTTAGTTTGTTACTAGTGATGGGATACTGTCCTGCAGCCTATATGAGACAACAGGCCAGGACAAGTAGTCTGGCATACGCAGCTCTACTTGCCAACAGCCACACAGTCCAGGAAGGACAGCCAGGTGATTGCCATTGCTGAGTCCCACCAACTGCCATCTGAGGGGATCACCTCACTCTGCCTAATAGTAGGCCCGGCCTGCTTATCAAAGGGAAAAAGACACAAGCAGACTTACCGCAAGCCTGGACTGACGCTCCTTCTCTTTCTCAGCCCGGATCCTTTGCTGTTCTGCCCTTTCGGCTCTACGCTTCTCCTATCATTGCACATAAGATAAGAATTGGTGAGTAGTTTTGTTATGACTCTGTTCATGCTTTTGGCAAGAAAAGCATGGAAATATCTTCCATCCACATTAGAGAGATAAACTGCATTGAGACTGAGTAGTTCAAATCTATTAAATCATGATCTGATACAGATAGCCAGGGTAACCCAAGAAAAGGGATAGTTCATTGTGTATGGCATCCATTAAAATTTAGCCCTGAGTCTCTTAAATAGTGCCATAGGACCATCTTGGAGAAGACATAACTTTGAAGAACACATCAGGGTGACTTACGATTCTCTCTTTGAGGGCCATTAACTCCTCCTCTTCCTTCTTCCGGCTTTCAAAGTGACTATCAATCAAGGCTTGAAGCTCAATCAAATCTTTGTTCTGCCTTTTCTTTTGGATGTCCTGAAGAAGAAAGAGAGATGCAGTGATGGTTATAATAACAGTAATAATATTTTGGATTATACAGCTCATCCCACTCAATAATTCTTTGGTATTCTCTTTTATTGCAGCCCCAAACATTCTTTTTCTCTTATGATTAGGAATCTTGCTTTGAAGTGTCTTCAGGAATGATATGGAAGTCCTATTTCTTTATATTGGAAATATATTGAAAGTTTAGAAGGGGGTGACAAGAGAATCATTGGAAGAAAGCAATACTTACATCAAAGTCTACTTTTTCACCCTCTGGGATCTTAGGTGCAGTCAGCCTTTGTGAATGGAGCAAAGAGAAAGGGAAAAAAATACTAGAGTAAGCATTTTCGGAACTGGGAGGGATGGAAAGAATATGCAGTACATCACACTGCCATGAAAAGATGTAAAGTTGTAGGTAACAGGGCTAGGGGTATGAGCCTTCACAGAGACCAAACCAATCACAGCTTTGAGACCAACAGGTTTATTGTGACATGAATTTTTGCCTGATGAAGGAACGATTTATCTATTGCTTATGAAGATTATGTCATAGTAACCTAATTATTCTTGAAAACAGGTATTGCACATGAAGTCTAAGGGCCTAACCAAGCTTTTAGGGATCTCCAAAGACCCACAGACCTTCTATTCTATTCTATTCTATTCTATTCTATTCTATTCTATTCTACCCAAATACATTCATCTTCACCTCTAGACAGCTACTGCACTTAGTAGACAAAAGAGTCCAATTCACTCTGAGTTGAAGCTACACATGTCTGAGGACAATATTTTGACAGAGATACAGGAATAGTTGTTAATGATTCCAGATTCATATCTTATTGGAATGGAACTTCCCTTGCTGATACCATCTCCTTTGTGCCAGCCACCTTTTATCCCTTGCCCTGTATGGTCCTTCCCGTCCACTTTCCTGCTTCAGTATGCCTGTAATAGCCTTCCTTTTCTGTCCTTTAACCGATCTCCCTCTTCTCAAAGCCTGCTTTACTCACAAACATCCTCCTTCCTCACTGTAAATTCTGGTTTGCACTGTGTGTTACTTTTTAAGTCTCCCCCCACCCTCATGGTTTCGTTACTGTAACTTGTTCTCTTTTCTCATGTTTGCTAATTCTATGCCACAGATGGTCAGAAGTCAGATCTCCAGATAGTTTGGACCAACTCCCAGAAGCCCTTGCAGACATGTGGCCTATGCTGGGAGGAATGCTGGGAGTTAAAGTCCAAAGTATCTGGAGATCTGCTTTCTTTCCACTGCTGATTTATGCCACTTTAGGTATGAACTCTGATGCCTCTCGACATTCCACCACTCAGATGTGCACTTCTTTATCCAGCTGGCAGAATGTATTTGAAGAAGAGCTTCAACCTTCACTGCAAGGCGTGTGAACGATGCTATTTGGACATGACCAAGAAGCGCAGCTTGCCAAACACAAAAGAACAACACATCTGGATGCCCATGGTTATCCGCCTGAAGCCAGCCAAGTAAGCATTTTAAAAGAATCGTTGTAACATTGGGCATTTTAAACAACTGCTCATACACACTTACACTGGTATTCTTGGCTTCTTCTCTAAACATGACAAGGCAGGAAGGGTACAGAGAACGAAGGAAGAAAAGATGGAGAAAGAAAATATTAGAACAATATAATATATTCTAGTCCGCTTTGCTAAAACAAAAGAAACAGAAGGGATGTCCAGTCACATGAAAACATCCCAAAGGCACTTGGCCACACTCTGGAAATATCATAAAGACACACTCCTTGGCAGGCCAGTTTTACTCATAAGTAAAACAGTAAGAAAAATGAAATGAGCTTGCATGAAAGCTCCAACATAGCATCGGGAAGGCAGGAGTTTCCCTTAAAGTTTTGAGTCTCAGTTCTCAAAATCAAGATGTCTTTTATAACCACATGCTATGCATGAATTCAAAGAATTTAGTCATACAATGGTCTCTCGGGGACTTATTTATTTATTCTGAGGTGAGATTTCAGTAATAAAAAGCTCACAGCCTACTTGTGGTTGCTGCCTTATTTGAAGAATGGAGAACATGACTTTGAAGAATTGAGCAAAAAAAAAAATTGTTATGTTGATCTTTCAGTCCTGACAGGCTAAATTGTTTTTAAAGTCATAATACCGTGTTACTCAAAACTACTCTTTTCTCTTGTCTTCCAATTCAAAGCAACACTTCAAAGAATCAGCCTCAGATGAAAGAGATCATGAAGGTGTTCTTTAGAAAGCTGACTAATGGCTTTTCTGAAGGCTTTTAATCCCCAGCATCTACCTTTGCTTTTGTTGCAAAAATGAGATCTGAGAACTGCACAAGTATTTCCTTTCCTGCTTTTCTGTGGCATAACCTGCAGGTGGCACTATGGTATTAGCAAAACAGTACAAATACACAAGTGGAAATAACATTTTCTTTTGCTTTAGGAAACAATGTCCCAATTTCCCTGGGTCACATGCGCTGTTTAAAAACAGAAACAAAATTGAAGGGTCACAATACTGAGTAAAAAATGACAAGCTCACAATAAATGCCTTATGTAGAAAAGTACTAAGATATTGCCTAGAGATGTTCAGAAGAAAGGGCTAAAACACATGCAGACACCTTGGAAATGTCTGAGTTAATCGAACCATCTGCAGTCTTGTGCTGTCCAGATATTTTGGACTACAACTCTCAAGCATTCTAATCAATGGTCATGCTGGCTGGGGGTAATGGGAGTTGAACTCCAAAACATCTGGAAAGTACCGGGTTGGGGAAGCTGGATCAGTTCAACTTAGGTAACTATGCTAACTACAGTCAGTGCAGGGATTATACATAAAGAATGGCACATTTAGGGGAGGGTAGAAGAAAAGCTATGCCATACTGCGAAAAACAAGCATTTCCTCCTTCCACACATTTAGTACCATGTGCAGACCATGGCATGCTTTTGCTCCCTCTTGATTTTCTCTTTACATAAAAGCCAACTGCTTAGCCAGTAGACCTCCTTGATCTACTATAAGGAGGGTAAACATTTGCTGATTTTAATACCTAGGTTGATAATTTTCTTTGTTCTGTCTTTGTATTTTATTTGTTCTAATGCATTTTGTATACTACTCAGTGTTTTGGAAGGAAGGGTGATATATACATACTGTATTTGAAATAAATAACTAAAAAGTATTAAGTATCTATGTTCTCCTCTGTTAGGCAGTGAGCTTTTCAAACTGAAATGGCTCATAACATATAGGGAATGAAAACACAAATCACACCAAACAATCTGTTATGGATGGTATTCAGAAGCATATAATGTTCCCTTCCCTTCAACTCCTTATGTCAAAAAATGACTACTATACTCCTTATTTCACCTCAAAGCTGTCAGTGTGGAGAAACATATATGTATACTAAGAAAAAAATCCCCTTTCTTCATTCTGAGCTCCTTTGCATCTGTTTATTTCTCACAATTTGCACTGAGATATATGTACCATTGGCTTAGATAGCTATCTAATGTCTAGATATGTTTTGGTCCTTTAGGAATAATTCCATGAACATGTGGTTAAAAGAAGAGTTAGTTTCCTGATCCTGGAATAAAAGTAATAATTGTAGGTTGTATCCAACACTGGTCATCCACCACTGGAATGGACACTACTAGCAGAGTGGATTCCCCACCCCCCACCCCACACATGTCCCTGTGCTTCCCCCAAATCTGCTCCAGAGGGTTGGGAAACCCCTTGAGCAGATGGAGGAGTATAGGAATCTCTTGCACAAGTGGAAATCCACTCACATGATGTTGGATTTAACCCTGTGTACTTCCAGGATACCAGATAAGGGCAAAGCAAAACAAAAAGTCTAGTCTACTTTAAAAAAATAACAGAAAGCCTCCAAGTGCAAGGCAACACAAGATGTAGTGTATGCATAGAGACAAGTCCCAAAGTTAGGATTTATCTTTAAAATAGTTTCTTTTTTATCTTCAAGGAACTGGGAAAAGCAAACAAACAAACAAACAAACAAACATAGAATCATCATGGCAAAATCCTTTCTTCTGATGCCCCTTTCTTTTCTGATTCTGATTCTTCTGGTTGTTGTATAAAAGGTAATGTCCAATGAAACATAATCCCTATTTTTAAAAAACCCTGCCAAAAGAAAAAAAATCCACGAATGCTTTGCCTTAAAATAATGAGATCAACAACAACGAATCTGGAAAATAAGCATGTGATAAGGGGATCTTATGTGATAAGAAGTGATCTTATGTAAGAAAGCTCTTGACCCCTCCCTTCAGAACCTGAAATTTTAAAAGGATCAAAACATGTCAGTAAGGGAAGTTGTTATTCTCTCCCAGTGTGCTTCTTCATTGTTAGCCATACATCTGATCTGAGGTAGAACACATCAAAATGGCACAAATATATGCCAAATATTAAAAAAAAATTTCCTCCCAATGCTTCAGATGAAGGATTTTTCTCAGGAACACAGCAGTGGCAGCAAAAGAGTTAAATTCTAATCCCTGTGATCCAGATAATTGGCAGCCACATCTCCCATGGCCTGTCATTTCTAAAAACTTGCATGTTAAATGCACACGTGCATTTTGCATCAGATCTTTGCCCAGGATCTATGCTCATGGTATATCTATGCTGTTGGTATTGCCTCAAATATTCAGGTGAGCCTGGCTTTAGATAAAGCAAGCCCTAATGCTAAGGAGGCATGAAAGGTTGTACATTTGCAGCTGTGATGATTTGGCCCAGTTCCTGGCTTTACAATGAGTGAGAATTAGACGCAAAGGGAAAAGGTGTTAGAAAAGAGGATGTGCTTTCTCCAAATGACACAAAAATACCATCAAAATATTCTCCGTCTTCTCCAGCTGCTGATGAAAGGCAAAGGGAAAAAGGCAATCCAGTCAATATCATTCTTGTTCTGTCCACCCCAAGCACCTGCCTTCTCTTCCCCTTCCCCCTTTTCAGTTCCTAGAATGATCAATTCCCACACTGTGGAAACAGAAAAGTAGTGCAATGTCCAATAGCTGAATTAGATGGTAAGAAATTGCTAAAAGTTCCATCCTTGGAAGACTAGCTCATACAATGGAGCAATTCTGACCTCTCTTGGGTCCTGTGAGGATAAATGCCACGCTCAGTGTGCTTTTGGTCTGCAAGCTCCTCAAGGCAGCTGTCTGCCCGTTCTTCCTTTCATCCTGCTGCAAAGCACCAAATGATGCCACTAAAGAATATGTGTGTGTGTGCGATTTACCCAAGCAAACTTTCCATGTGTTCTTTCTTGCATTTCTATCCCATCCTTTTTCCGGAGAGGCCATGGTCCTGCCCTCTGTTTTATCCTTACAACTCTGTAGGGTAGGATAGCTCAGGTTGATAGAGCATGTCCATGCAGTCTGTCCTACAGAAATCTACTAAGAAAAACCCCTGTCCTAGTGTGGCCCAATTCTTCCTCACCACATGCAACCGAAAATATTTTTAAGCACTGTTTGAGCTAGGCTGAGGGAAAGAAAGGAAGAAAGAAGGAAGGAAGGGAGGAAGGAAGGAAGGAAGATTTTTTTTCTGGGGTGAAAAGCACATACCTTCTTCATGGACTTCTTCTGGAAGAGTCACAGTAGAAGCAAGCAGAAATAGGAAACAGAGAATAAAGGAAAAAGAATATGCATATTAACATTTTTGAACCTGATAGGAAGGAAAACAGAAAAAAAAGACTGTTGCTTTGGCTTGATTTGCTGTTTTGTTTTGTTTGTTTTTTAAGAATAATGCAACAAGGCACCTGGAGAAGCTGTGGGGATGTGAAAACAAAGTTAATGCAGTTGCAAGCATGGAGAACTCAAGGAAAAGAGAAACTAGTCTGTAAGTGATAGTTGGTTAATAGTATTTGTTGATCTTGTTTTTTCCTTCCAACATCCCATTGACACATACATGTATATTTGTGTTCATATCAGAGCTAATATAGAATTGGGAGGTCAGGTCACATACCTGGCTCATGAACTTCATCAGTTGAGAAGTGTCATGGAACAAGATGTAACGACAGCAAGAGAAGGAAAACAAGAGGAACATGTTAATACAGGGTCTTTGAACTCTGCAGTGAGAGTCCAGAGGGAGTAGGGAGAGAAAGAAGGCCAGCAGAGTATATCAGTAGTCAGAGGGAAGGAAAATTAATATCAATTAGGCTGCAATTCTATACACACTTAGCAGGGAGTGAGTCCTATTTAACTCTATGGAATTTATTTCTGAGTAGATATTATAGGATTGTGCTGTTAAAGGGCTGGGTAAAGGCAGCCAATGGGGAGTCAGTGAAGGTGAACGGTGAATACCAGATCATAGAGTTAATGGCATAGAGTTGCAAGTAATCTGCCAACATAGCATAAATCAAAGGGAATTCACCATCCTGTTTACAAAAATTTATTTGGGTTAATCATGCACAGGATGATTCCCAGAGTTTAAAACAAGATGATCCTGAAGAAATGCAAGTACCATTTCATTCGTTTGGAGTATGAAAAACCTTGCAAAACCCCATTTCTAGGGAACCAAGGTGTTTAGAAAAGAACATTCCTTCTTCTGATCTTTTTTCCTGGGTGGATGGTCTGGTACACCCATTTTAGACATTATATATTATAAGAAATACACATCTATATGCATTGCAGCCAATGATCATTTGCTTTTAAGTTCTCAAACTATGACTAAAAGGGAGAAAGTTGTTTACGGAAAGTGCTAGCAAATACTTCATTCAAATAATAAGAATAAACATGGACTCTAAATGCTGCAGTGAGCTTTGCTCAGCAATGACTTATATTCCACATGAAAGAGAGAAACCTAGCTCCAGCTGTAGAAAATACCTGCTTCCGAATCCATCTGTGTTTGGGCCTAATAAGGCTATAAACAGCTTGTTTTAGCAACCATATACCCATGTACCTGTGCAATGAACATTCATTCACGAATATAGCAAGTTTTCTATACAATATAACATAAGTAATTATTTAATACATGCAAACAATTTCCGAGGCTTTCTTTAATCTCAAGCCCTTTCTAAATGTCAAGAAGTGTTTGTTGTGATGTCTGAAAAGGACTTGGATCCATGCTGCTTCTGCATTTTCCATTAGCTGCTGATTTAAGAAAACACCAGCTAGGGATGAAAAGACATTGTAAAATCTCTTCCATCTGTGTTTTGTGGACTCTTTTCTTCCATTGCCCATGGATTCTGCACAAATGCCTTCATAAGCAAATTCTCCAACATGTGCAAATCTACCAAACATACATGAAGCCTCCCAAAATACTTATTTTCATGTTTTAGCCTTTGGGAGAAGAGCACATTTTGGGCTGCTGTTTTTTATTTTCCATATTTTTCTATGACTAAATTTGCCCCCCATAAGTGGGGGAAGGAAAGGTTAAACAAGACACATAAGTCTATTGAATCTATACAGCTCAAGGAAAGCCACTCCAATGTGGAATTACCAGATAGTATTTGTGGAAATTTAAACTCATTTGAGTCTGCTGCAGTTTTCTGCAATATCCTCAATGGCAGCCTTCCTGAAAATTATGCTCTCTGGATATTTTTGATTACAACACCCATCATCCTCTCTCAGCATGACCCTTGCCTTTTCTCTCTCTATGTTCCAAGCAGTGCTCTTTTGCAGGTGTTTCATGTCCCCCAGATACTTACATGGAAAGGATGTTAAACCACATGGGTTTTAAATCACAAATGTTATGGGAGAATAATTAAAACCAAGCAAAAGTTAAGAATTATTCACTGTTATCTCCTGTTTCCTTGCTCCACCTTTGAATTCCTGTGCACATTACCCATCAAGACAATTAGAGGAATTCAGAAGTCATGTCACATACCTGGTTCATGAACTTCATGAGGTGGGGGAGTATCAATAGGGAGAAAGGAAGACAAGACAAGTAAGAAAAACATGTTGGTTACAACCCTGAACTCCTGCAAGTCAAGGCTGAAGTATGTAATGTATAAATAGGTTAAAATGGAAAGCACAACAGTAATATGTTTAAAATAAGGAGGCAAACTTGAATGAGATAAGACAGAAGAACATGCGTAAGTGGAAAGGGTGGGAGGATAGGGGCATGCAAGTGAATATGGTAGACAGTATCACAAACACTATTAGATTCCCTGCCCTTGAGCTGCAGGTGTAAATAGAGGCATCTTAAATACACACTTTCCATACTTGGAAGGCAGAATCATCATATATTGCTCTTCCGGGTGTGGATATCATTATCCCATGTCAGATAAATAAATTAGCATTTGAAAGAATCCTTTTTGAAAGCTAAAGATTTCTATCTGATATGAATATAAGGAATGTAAGTGTGTGTGTGTCAGAATGCAGTGAATGTAATTTACTACATTTATCTCATTCTTAGAAGTAAAACTGCATCATTTAAACAGTATAAAAGCACCTAGATGATATTAAGTAATTGTACATGGATAAACGTAAGCTGCTCCCTGTAGAAAGGCTCCTAATCTAACACACAGTGCATTCTTTTCCAGTTATAAAAATGCATATACTATTCCTGATATAGTATGGAAGAGAAATGTCTGTCATATGCTTCATCCAAGGACGAAAAATAGTCATTCTTCTATATTATTTTCCTATTCATAGTAGGAGACCCAATACATATAACAGTCAGTAGAGCTATGCAAGCATTTCTGTGCGAGGTATGTATGTATGCATGTGTGTATTATATGTGAGAAAGAGTCTGCATTGTGTGTGGAGAGGGATAGGGAGAGAGAGAGATCTACATCTGCTCAAATGTGGATGCATGTGGATGTAGATGAGAGTGTGGCTGGTCCCACCCAAATTCATTTTGCCCACATCCACCTTCTGCAGGGCCACCCCTGGCATGCAGCCCCGGGAAGGGAATGTTAGGCCGAAGAAGATCCCCCATCGCCATCATAAAGCTTCATGCAGCTTTATGCACCTGCTGCTTGGCAAAATGCCATGGCCGGTGGATTCCACATTGCCTGATAGCCATGAGGACACTGAGTCAGTGGGGAAATTATGGCTGTCGTGGGTCGGAGTGTCTGACCTGGCATACAACAAGGCTCTATTGTTCCCCTGCAGGATGCCACCACTTGTT